CAGCTTTATGCAGATGATTCAGTCATATATGTATCAGCTAAATCACCCAGCAAAGCGGCCGAGTTTCGACCTGCTTACTTTGGTGATATCCATCAGTTGTAACATATTCATCTTGTTTCAAATTTGAAAAAGACAGTTTCCAGTTTCTCAATTAGAAAACCGGGCTCACCTGAAAACTTGAAGAAAAAAAAAAATAGAGGAGGTCAATTATTTCAAATTCAGTTTTATATGCACTCTATGATTATTGCACATTTTTGATATTGTATCACAGTATCGGTTCAAGCATCACCATAAAGTCAGACCCCTCATATTCTCATACAATCAGACATTGAAAGTGATGGACAAAAAGCCTGTCTGATGGCATCACTGACACTAAAGAAAAGATACAATTTTCTTAGTTTTGATAGCTTTATTCATCTTTGCTTTCTTATACATGTATCAATAGTTTAGCCCCAGAGTCTCTTTCCAGATATATTCAAAGGCAAGACAGTAACAGAGTGACTAGCAGCGTGGATAAATTTGGATAATCAGCTTTCTCCATAAAGGGCTGTCAACTTTGGAACACATTACCAACTTCAATCAAATTTACCCCAGATATAAATTCCTTTACAACAAAGGTTAAGTGCTGGCTAAAAGCAAACCAAAGCTGTACCCATTTCTAGGAAATATATCTATTGTTGATTGCTTTGGTTTGACTATTTGTCTGCTTGTTATGTGGTTGTTGTCTCTTTTTAGACTGTACATCTGTATATTTTTAGCTAATTGTTTGATTATATCATTAGTGTGTCTGTTTGTGCTGTTGTTGTTGTCTCTTCTTAGACTAAACATCACAATCAATGCATTTCAACATAGTATTTTACTCTACTTTCATATTTGTAGTGTGTTGTGGTCTTATGATAATGAAAATTGACTGTTTTGATGAATTGCACTGAACATGTAAAAGCCTAACAAGGGACAAGAGTTGAAAATTAGCAATACCTATAAACTCTGTGCAACTCATCAGTTTCATGCTTCAGTTTCGAGCACATTTATAATCTTCAAATCAAAGTTAAATAATATAATAGACCCCTCCAAAGTGATATCAAAGATAATAATTTTACCACTTATGATATCAATGTCATACTTGATACCTGATATTATCACACATAATTTACTGAATAATCTTAACTATTCATTATATTTTATGATAAAATTATATAGTTTTCAGATTGCAGCTGACAAGCAGTAATGTTTTCTGTGGTTGTGAAACTTTTTTTATCCGGTTAACTGGTGTCATCACAGTTGAAACTTATGGGAATTACATATGCACAGACACATACACACACAGCAAGTGTCCGTCAGCAATTCTTGAACAATTCTTAGGTATTAACAAGGAAGTTTAAAATGATAAAGAATGGTGATGCAATTTATGGAAAAACTGAAATCATACAGTTTCAGTTAGAAAGAAAACGGCATGCTTTGTGTTAGTCATAGAAATGATTAGTGTTCATATGTGGCTCGGGGTGGATGTTGAAGGTAGGGTTGTTCCGATACTGATACTGCCTAAAATACAGTATTGGCCATCAGTGAGTACACAAATCTGGAAATAAAACCCTAGAAATAAAATTCTTAATTTGCTGCTCTAAAACTGTAGCTTACACATAAAGTTGCACTGTGCAGCCACTGGCAGTTAGAGTGGTGAAGAAGTTTGATTTAAGGAAAATAGTGCAACGTTAGCAATTAGCAAAATGTCAGCAATTTGGCAGTTAAGTCCCATCAGTCAAAAGGTAATGTGTACATTATGCAAGTTTTTCATTTCGAAGGGTTGCATTAGTGTTAGAATCACTAATGTAGGAAGTGCTATTTATTTCAATTCATGTGTCTGTTCATGTTTTTTAGAGGGTTTAACTCGAGCCATTCCATACAACAATGACAGCGATCGTGTCACATCCATACAGGGTTAGCAGTATGCAGCTGTTAAATTTTCAGCACTCAGTTTTACAGCTACATGAGTTCAGGTATCAGTATTGGAAAAAATGGTATTGGAACATCTCTCGTTAAAGGTCAAGTTAAACCCAGAATATCTTAGTCCGTTGCTATGCAGGTATTGATTGGTTTTGGACATGAAAAAGGCCAGTTGCTTACCCAGATGTATATTATAGTTACAGTATATTCTATTATTGTACTTCTGCTTAATAGGGAAACAAAGTGTGTACACACACTGATGTTGTCACTTTAAATAATGTTGTAAATGTCACCTCAACAGAGAAAAACACAAAGAAAACTGTCAATAAGGTCTTCTTCTGTTTGTTTTTTTTAAGTTATATCCAGGGGCCTCTGGGTCCTCAGGGACCCTTCGAATCATGACAGGAAGTGATGTAAAGAGGGTGATAAAGCTGGTTTTCTTTTTGTCCCTGCCACTTCATGAGAACTATCCCTCACTGCTCTGCCAACACAGAGATAGCGACAGAGTCCTTTACACTGTTGTCGCAGGTTGTGTTGGCAGGCTTTGTGTAACAAAGAAAAGGGAGGCAATCATTCACCAGGTTCAACATTCACAGCACAGTCAATGTCAGAGTGAATTTGAAACTCCAGATCACACATTTGTCATGTTTGGAAATTTCAGACCTGATTATTGTAGAATTTGACAGTCGACTTTTTCTAAATCAGAAAGAGTGTGTCAGGTTCGGTCTGGTCAAATACAATTTCAAAAAGAATGGCTGGGTTTATTCAACAGCATCCACATTCTGGACCGTTTATGAAAATCAGCATTCCTTGAATGAACAAGATGTTTATTTCTTTGAAAACTGAAACAAATAATAAGTGTGATGAAAGCCATACTTTTTTCAGAAATTTGCACAACTATTTTGTAACACTGTAACGTTGGCTTCCCTGACAGAGGCAAGCCTGGGCTTCTAGACTGTTGCAAACTGAAAGCAGAAGAAAGAAGAGGAAGCTGGGATATACTATCCTTTAAAAGACCTTCGTGGTTGAAAAGGATCACGTGAATTTATGAATCAACAGCCAATGCAGTCCAGTTCTAACACCTGCGGTAGTTGAAATTATTATTTGTTTAACTAATTTCACTGGTTCCAGCTTCTCAAATGTGACACCTGGCTGCCTTTCTTTATTTTAGTAGTTGACTACTTTTGGGTTTTTGGCTGTTGGTTGGACAAAACAAGCAATATGAAGACATGAACTTGGGCTCTGGGAAATTCTAATGAGATTTTTGAGGCTAAAAAATGATTAATCAAATATCAACAGTTTAATCAATAATAAAAACGATGTTCTCTGTGTTGGATTAACCGTCTTAAGTAGGTTGTTAGCCTCTGCATGTCGATTTTCCAGAAGAACCTGAAACAAAATGCTATCTTAAAGTTAAGAAATTAATTATTATACATGTGACCAAGGGCTAAATACCAGTCTGTGTTAAAGTTCTACTATGCCACCTTGGGAATTGCATCCAAGGGCATTTACTGGATGGATTTACTTATGCATATAATAAAGACAAAGACTTTTAAAACGGCTACCCCTGGCAGGAGGGCTGACTAATGGAAGGCCTCTCTGCCCCACTACAAACCTAACTAAACCAGAAACAGACTGATGTGATTGCACATCATCAAAATGTGCATAAGTTTATCACATGGCAGTGTAAAGGGAATCTGGCCCTAACCAATAAGTAAATAGATTAAATTATACCAATAAAAGATGAAAAATGATCCAGCACAAACTGCATAGAAGAATTTATATAGAGGTTGATAACACCATTATATCTATCAGTATTACTATTATTATTTTGTCTGTAACAATCAACAGTATATACAGATGTTTGTGGGCTCTCTCTCTCTCTCTTCTCCCCAACTGCAAAGGAAAAGAAATACAATCATCATACAACAGCCAGGTGTGTCAGGAAACCAGCACAACACTTCTGAACTGAACTTAAATACCCACACCTGACCTCTGTAGGAGTGACCCAGGTGTCAGTCATCAGGTAGTGACGGATAGGGAGGAGTTACCTATCACATACATTTAAATCAATAAAGATAGGGAGTATAGACAGAATTGAGAGTTAATGAGTAAGTCATGTGAAAGCCCACCCGTGCTCAGTCTCCAGTGCATGTGCTTGGCTTGTGTCGTTGGGTCTTTCACACGCTGCAAACACAATCCCACAATTATTCAGCTGGAGTTGATTACAGGTGCTCTGTCAATTCGCTGAGATAACGGACCATGTGCTGTTGTTTTCAGAGAGATAAAATGTGACAGCCAGGCATAATGTGCTACTGCTATGTCTCTGCCAACACACATCCTGTCTGGCAATACTCTGTCCTCCAAATGAAACACACCCCCACCCTGGAAACTTCCTCAGCTGATAGTGAGTTGATAAAGCTTGGTTGCACCTACAAACATGTTGCTCTTGTTTTCAAGTTTCACACCATAAGACCCAAAATACACCGCGCACACACACACACACACACACACACACACACACACACACACACACACACACACACACACACACACACACACACACACACACACACACACACACACACACACACCTTGTTGATCTTACTCTTGCTACTACTGTTTCCCTTCCAGTCACCTCATGATTGTCATTCTGATCTGTGAGCGTACTTGTTTTTCCTCGCTGCATATTTGAAGAGAGAACAATGTTGGAGCTGAGCTGTTCATTGTTTCTACCAGGAGGACCTGGTGGAGGTGGATAAGTCAAAATAACAGTTCAGGAACATTTTGGACTGAAGTCAGATGGACAGAAGAAAGAACAAAGATAATGTACTGGCAAGAAGGAAGAAAACAAAAGTGAAGGACAGAGAGAGGTGTTTGTTTGAAGCTGCCCATGTTCAAACGTCTACCTGAACTTGGTAGAGTTTTGAAAAAACACATAATAGTTCAAATTCTGCCTTCAGCTGGAGGGAAAATGTGTGTCCTCGTATTTTTGTGTTTGTGTGTACAAGAATGTTTAATTCACACCTGAGGTGTGGAATAAATGCCACTGAAACTCTTTTAAGATTCATTGTTTATATAAACTCTAATAAAGCAAAAAAAAAACATTAATACAAACTTTCCCCATCATATACAACTACTAGTCAAACTGTATACATCCTTCTGGGTCTGAAATATTTACACAAGCTTACATTCAAAAGGTTTGCTCTGCAGTTAGCCCAGCTGTGAAAGCAAATACTGTGTAGCTCAGCTGTGAAATAAAATATTCACATATTATATCCATTTTAATATGACCTCAAGCATACTTATCTCCTGTCTTTTTGGACAGGATTCTTCTTCTGAACAGTAGTAAAATGACCAAACGCCACACTGGCAAAAAGGTGAAAATGTAAACAAAGTTGTGGCTACAGAAGTAATAGCTTTTCTCATTCAATTTCAAACAATATATATATAACTTAAGAAGTGTTCATCATAACAATGAAACATTTCTCATCAACCAACAAAACTAAGATACTTCATGCACACACAAACGCTCACACACAAACGCTGCTTCTAAAATGCTGCTGCATGCCGGTTGCTGAGTTTGTCCAGTGGAGTCAGAGCACCTGCTGTGCCTCACAGCCCAGGACCTCCAGACGCAGGGCGATGTCGTTGATCCAGCCCCGTGGGTGGATACGAAGGTAGCGGCCAAACAGAGGAGGATCAAAAAGTGTGACAGCCTCCTCCTCTGGATCGTTGTTTCCTGTGAAGATCTGAGGATGGAATAAACAGGAACGGAGGGAAAAGCAGGGAGTTAAGAAGAATTGTAATAAATTAACACTGAAGGGCTCAGGTTGCAGATTAGATCCAGAAAATATTTTTTTTCATGCAGATCTGGGTATTAGAGTTCAACAGATGTGGATTTTGGAAGTCATGATACTAAGAACTGATTATTTGCCCAGAACTTTTATTAGTTACAGGGATTTTCAAGCGTCATACCAGCATTTAGTACACTGTGTTACCAAGCTTTAATAGGACTCTTGTGATGGGCTGTCAGCTCTATAATACAGAGTCCAAGTGTCTGTGTGGTCTACCTGTTCTCTTTGGGACCTGTCCTCTAACACGCTGCTCCAGGAGTGTCCATCATGACTGACGGTGACTGAGAACTCCGTCACCATCATCTGGGTCAACAGTGATCGTGCTCCTTGGGTTATGACCCCTGTGATACGTCTGATTTTCCCCAGGTCGACCTGCAGCCACTCGTGGGGATTGTTGTTCTGGCGTGAAGGGGGGGGACATTTTTAGATCTCAGAAAGTAAAATATTAACATAAAAGAACAAAGACGAAATATACAAACAAAGACACTATACCAAGGTCCTCGCAAAACTCAAGTGAACTCGGGGCAACAGAGAGGGACATCACAGAGTAGGGCTAAAACAGCTGGTTTGTTCTTATGCTTGAGCAGGATGAGACACAGATTTGCTCCAGCCTTGGACTACAAAGGCCATGAAGGAAAAAAAGAAACAGATGCGGAGATGGCACAAGGGAACACCGCATCACTTCCCCTCCCACATTTCTCTAAAAACACTAAGAAACTTATAAACTAGGTTTCTGGCAGTGTGTTGTTTTGCCATGATATAATCGGGTAAAACCAGAAGAACTGTTTGTGTGGGGACGATTTGTTGTATCCATCATTTCCGAAAAAAACAAATGATGAGGAAAAGGTTGCTTGGTTTCAGGAAAAGTCCCAACAATTAAAAATGATTCAAAGCTGAAACCCAGTGTGAGGAGAGCCAGAGATTTTTAAAAGCCTATTTAAACGCCAAACCACTCGCATTTATATAAACAAGGAAAAGTAAATCAAGGTGGGCCCCATTACAGTCTGTATCCTGGAACATATTTACAAGAAGTGCTTTGTTCCTGTTTAGGCTAATGTTAATGACAATGACTGAATGCTGAATGCGGATACAGTTAAAGGATAAATGCCCCTAAACCTCTGAGGACATTAAAAACAGAAAAGACTTCACACATAATATGAAGCTATCTGTTCAGACCTTTACAGCCCTTTGAGGACACTTCGAGATAATAATCAGCCCAAAGTGTTTGACCCCTGTCAATGAATCATAAGTGCTACATACTGTTTGCCGTGTGACTTTTAATAACAGCTCAACAGTTTGACAGAGGGACAAATCACACCTCTAGAGTTCAGTGCTGCAAAGTGTGAAAGCGATAAGCTTTGAGACGAGAGGAGAGGAAGAAATGATAAAAGGCAAAAATAATATAGGGACAGAGAGAGGAGAATGTGAGGGAGCAATAATAATGCATGACACTGGTTCTTAACATAGTGCGACATATGGAACAAACGGCAGATGAAGTAACACTGATTGTGTTGGTGTTTCTCAAACAGTGTCGCTGAGGCACACACAAATAACTCAACAAGTTTTTCCTCCAAGTGCTTGCTCATTGTGGGAACTGTTCAGTTTCTCTCTATAATATTGTAAGATCTTGACCTTACCCTGTAAAGTGCATTGAGATAATGTATGTTGTGATTTGGTGCTATGCAAATAAAACTGAACTGAATTGAATTGTTTTCCAAGAACACTGATTTTGCTTTGCGTGTATTATAAATTTGGATTTCATGAACAGTATGCGTGTATTTATTAACATATGTGTTTATGTGTGTTATGTTCACCTTTGGCCTCCAGGCGTTGGCTCTGCCTCCCTGATGGAGCCGGGCGAGGCTGGGGCTCCAAGTGCTCAGCAGAGATGAATGAGATGAGGAGGCACTGAAGCTGCTGTCAGGAATCAGCCTCTGGAGCCCGAGAGGGAGCGAGCAGCCTGGCCACACACACAAACACACACACACACACACACACATACAAACAGTCATTCTCAGCACTTTCATACAGTTAAATAAAGACTTCGGTAAATTCTGTCACTGTTTGTTACAACTCACTGTTGAGATCGCAGCCCAGAAGCTCCAGTCGGAGAGCAGGCTTTTGCACATAGTTTAATGGCTGAATCTTGATGTAGCGAGCCACAAATGGTGGGAAAAAGTGGTTGTTTTTCACCCTGGAGCTGTCCATGTTGCCATAAAATACCTAAACCAGAGCCACAAAAACAGTTTACAACACAGTGAACACTGCCCAAACTCCAATGGACAACCATTTCCCAGATTTTCTGACATCACAAATGCACAGCCAAGGACAGTGGCACCTGCTCGTAGCTGATCTGCAAAAACTGTATAGTATTCAGAATTTGTAGTTAATGGACTTCAAAACACAAAACTACTTGTTAGGTTATTAGAAGGTCATTTGTGTGGGATACTTTAAATTTTAATGATGGAGTCATCAGTTTTAAAATAGTAAGTAAGTCAAATGCTTTGCAACAGTTTCACTTTTGAAGTCTTATGAGTTTTGAGTTCTAGTCTACAGACTGAAGGCTCCATCTTCCTGACACATGAAGCAGATTGTTGAAGCTGTTTCTAGATATAGAATATATAATGTGTATGTAAATACAACTGGAAATAATGTCAGTGGTCACGTGGTCTGTTTATCTGGTGATCTGGGAACTGCATGTTCCACGACTACTTGTATGCTGAGGAACAAATTTCCTGAAGAATCAACATTTTATTACTGACAAATATTAACCTTAATCCTACTGAGGTATCACATTAGAGGACATACATTGTTCTGCCTGGTGGTGTTTCCTTTGTAGGTGACCCAAGTATCCTGGTCCAGACTGTAGGAGATGGTGAAGAACGTGATGTAGTGGTCCCTCAGCTTTGATCTGACTCCCTGTGTCTGAATACCATGCAGCAGGGTCGGCCTCTGGAGGTCGATCTAACAAAACACACATTACATGACATAACATTTCACTGTGCTTGATTACTGTTTTAAACATGAATGTTACAAAGAGAATTTAACTGATATTGTTGCACCATATACTGTAGCAGATAAAGTGTAGAGAAAGGCTGTATGTCTAACCTGTATCCACGACATCTTGTTTCTGCCCATCCAGGCATTGATATAACCCGACTGGTCCAGCCTCGCCAGGCTGGGCTCCCACCTATCTGGACACACAAGTATAAACACATTTATAATCCAACTCTTAATGTGGGCAATTTCCAGGGTTTAAGATTTCATAAAGCTAGTTGAGGTATTTTCATTTTCGTTGCACTGGGTATTTGTGGTAAGCATGTCCTCTCTCTGCAGATATTGCTAAGTATTAAGGGCCTTCTTGGTGTGTTTACCCTGTTTAATGAAAGTTTAAAAAAACAGCATCTTACCTATGTGATCTGAAGCCGTGATCTGGGAATCCTCAATCCTTCCTGATTTCATCCCCAGAGGCAAGACACATCCTGCATGACAGTAAGAGAAAATTCCAGCAAATTTCCAAGTATACACAATTATCACTTAAAAATTTCCCTTTCCCATTTCTGTGGACTTAACACATCTGAACAGTACAGATTTCTGGAAATGACAACAGCATCTGTATTGGTTTACCTCAGAATGCGCCCTCACAATGGATGAATTTCTCATTACAATAAAAAGTTTCCTAAATTAAACATTGCTTGGGAAAAAGCCTCTGATATATTTCATATGATGTGATGAAACTCTTCAAAATGCAGCAGCTGTGGTGTTGGCATGTAAGTGATGAAGTTCCTAGTGTTGCGAAATCTTATTCAAGCCCAAATATCTGTAGCCTGGTCAGCAGCTCCATGAGGCTGAAACACTCATTACGCAATAGAAAACAAAGTAATGAGCTGGCAACAATGGAAACACTTGGCCAGTAGCACACCAAATTACACATACTGCAAAATATGCATGCTAGCACATGTGATGATAGCATGCTAATCTAAGAATGTCAGTACAGATGAGGCTGAAGGAATTCAATCATTGTTGTTGGAAAAGTGGAAAATTTGACTTATTGGTAAAGGGATCACTAAAATCATTAAGATCCATCATCTTGAGACAATGAAATATATACCAGGTTCATTTCAATCCTTTTTGCTGAGATTTTTTTTTTATCTCTGGACCAAAGCGCTGGACACAGGCAGAACAGACTGACACTGTCATTCCTTGAGCCACTAGCATGACTAAAAAGAAATCCAGTTAACTCATTAATAATATTTTTCACCCATATATGAAATGTGTACCTACGTGGATTATACACTAGCAGTTTAGCCCTCATGCCAGCCAGCTGGTAGTCTCCTATGGTGCACTCAACCAGCCATGTGCCAACTGTGGGGGGTCTCATTTCCACTGTGCCAAACACTCCTGGAGGGGGGGGGGGGGATTAATGGGTGACAAAGAGCAATAAATAAACAAGACAGTATGTAATATAGGAATCAAGAAAGATCCTTAGAAAGACAGGGTTACATAACCAGAAAGACAGAACTAAAAGTATTGGCATATAAATATGAATGTGCACGTGTGTGTGTGTGTGTGTGTGTGTGTATGTGTGTGTGTGTGTGTGTGTGTGCGTGTGTGTGTATTTACCTGGGAAGAGGTTGTAGACCCCCATACGGTGCTCCTGTTCAGTGTGAACGGTGAAAGGCAAACCATGGAAGTGCACAGCGTGGTACTCGCCGTCGCTTCCTACATTCAGCAGGTGCCACCTCACTCGCTGGTGCTGGGCAACCAACAGACCAGGAAGTGTCTCCGCCACATAACCATTTATCGCTAAAAGGAAAAATCATAAGCATTTATTTAAAATATATAAAAATGTTTCATAAAAACAATTGCAACAAATCTGCAGTAGTTTAATTAAAACATGTCACCAGCGATCAACTCTATTATCACCCACCTGCAAACTTATTGCTGATGTGGTACCAGGGGTCCTCGGTGTTGGCCTGACAGGGTGGGGCACAGTGCCGTCGCAGATTCTCCTCCATGTACCAGCTTTTTGTTTCATCAAAGGTGTGGAAGAGCAGGGAAAACTCCTGGACGTCCAGCTGTGTGTTCTGACGAGTCCAGAGGGTGCCAGGCTTACAGATCACCAGAGGACCGATCAGACCTGAGTGTAGGTCCTTCTCCTGAATATAGAAGGATATATTTATTTTCTCCTTTTCATTTAAATACAGTCAAGGTTTTAGGCAATAATTAAAAAGATTAAGCTTGTGAATTTATGGGACATGTTTTGTGATTCCCATTTTATGCCCTTGCAAGGAACAAACAAGAATTTATTTGAGATTTAACAATTACAAATTAACTTACAAATAAACAATCAGACTAATCTTATGCTGAAATTAAATAAGAACCAAATGGAGACAGTTATAATAATAAACAAAGCAATTAGTGCCTCACTTAATTGTAAATGACAAATTAAAAAATAAAATAATTATTTTTGATAAGTTCATATGTACATGTATTAAGAGACAGTAATGGACAAAACAGAAAAATAACATTCATGCAAACACAGGTATATGCTGTATATCCATGAAACATGTGAAGGCTGCAGGTGAAGGCCCATACAGACCTTGTCCACAGTGGAGTAATAAGCCCCAGTCTTGCAGTCGAATTCAGTGTCAGTTGGTCCTTGTTTCTTGGTTATTCTCCAGTTATAGGTCCGCGCCTCACCAGGAGCCACGGGCTCTCCTGGGACACCAGGTGGAGCAGAGGAGGCATAGGTTTGGGCTATGCCGGCCCCCTGGCTGCGGTCATACACTCCCTGAAGATGAAAGGAGTACGGCCTGGATGCCTTGTTTTTAAAGATCACCTTGAGTAAAACAGGGAGATTACCAACACCAATCAAAAGTGGGGAATTTTTCACAAAAGCAGAGACAGTTTTGAGCAGAGAGCTACATTTTCTACAGTAGTTATATCTCGTACTTTGGCTGTTTCATGAAAAATTTGCTGTAAATTGAAGATTGAAGATAGTAGCTACCATGACTAAAGAAAAAAACATCATTAGTTTATCATTTTATTTTGCGTAGGCAACAGTATCACTCACAGTGACAAGATCATTAATCTCAGCTTTGATGAAAGGTCCCATGAGTCCCAGGTGTTGTTGAATCTCTCCCCTGCTTATGGGATTTAGGAAGTCTTCACCCCTGTAGGCCTGAAACACCACCTTCTTATACTCTGGCAGGAACTTCCTCATACCTCGACGCATCTCTCTAAAGGAAGGAGTTCAGTCAGTACTGCTGATTTAATACGGATTATTTCAGGACATCTGAGACTCAGATTGTCAGGTTTAGCTCTATATTGTCAGACTTGGCTCAGCTTTCACCAATCTACGCTGTATAACACTTAATTAGACACAGTAGACTGCTTATGTTATATTATTATCACTTCTACATGCTAACATTTGCATAGCTTTTTATCATGCTAACATGACAACATCACCATATTAAGATGGATACAGTTAGAAATTTAACATCCCAACATTTAACATTTTTGTATAAGGCTGAGAGGAGCTTTCAAAAGTCAGAGCTACATAACTCACTATCGGAAAGTGAAGAAAAACCTCAATGAAATCTTATTCCTACCTGGGTTTGATGAACTGATGTGGTTTTCTGATGCCGTAGTCCCAGGTGATCTCCTCTGCAGCAATGTAGTAAGTGCGATATTTGATGCCTCCTGAGCGTGGGTTCACATGGCCTGTGGCAGACATATGTGTGCTGTTCATCTATAAAAAAACAAATATTTACATAATTAAAGGTGAGGACGAAGAGTTTGGGTTTGTGGCAGTTGCTATCTGGCGTATGGTATTATATGTACTTGAAAAATGTACACAAGACATACAGAAAATAGTACCTGATAGCTGTAGTCATCATACTCTAAAGACAGGTCAATCTGTGTTTCATTGTTGTTATCAGCAGTGTAGTTGGTGTCCAAAGCCAGCAGATCCACTGAAAGTCGATCAGGTTCAGACTGAATGTAGTTTTGCAGTACAAAGTTTTCATCCATTTCTTCTGAACTGCTTGGTTCCACAGTTGAGATTGTTTTTGTCAACAGTGGATTGCTGTTCAGTAAGATCTCGTTGCTCTTTAGAAGCTCCTCTTTTGTCAGATTCATTTCACTCCTTTCCTTGGACTTTACCTCTGCATCAGTGTCAGTCTTGTTTTCTGCAGACTGTCCACCAGTCTCTGTCCCAGTTCCTCCAGCTTCTGAGGCTCCAGAGAGAATGTCCCCATCTGTCCGGTTTCCCTCTGCCTGTCTTCTCTGTCTGCCCCCGTGGTTTTCTACAGGTTCAGTCCCATTCTGAGTAACTGTCAACTCTCTATCTCTATCTATTTTCTCCAAGATATCCTGTGGGATTTCTCCCTCTGACACCCTGTTTGGATCTCCTCCTGTTACTGACACTCTCTTCAGCTGACATATCTGTCCTTCAGAGGCCCCAGTCCCTTCAGTTTTATCATTAGTGAAGTTTCCTGACTGAGTATTGTTGATAGCTGGGGGTTTCTTGCACACACGAACCAAAACTGTGTTATTTTGTGACCTTCTGCCCCTTGGCAGTAGATCAATCTGATCTATATAATCACTGATATCATCTTCATCTCTGTCTCGATCGACTAGTGGGAGGTCTCCATTGTCGCAAGGACGAACTGTGTAATGGATGCTCATCCCCCGGCTCTTGAGGCTGCCGTCGAAAGCACTGATCTCCCACTCACCTGAGCAAAGAGAAAGTCAAGCGTTAATATGATTTGAGTGTATGCACTGGCAGTGCATGACATGCATCAAAACACTCACACCTATTGCTTTTCATGTAAACCCAATCACCAGCCGCATCTTGGAAGAAAGAACAGTAGCATATCCAAAATGCCTTGATGCATGTCAATGCTGGGAAACAGGATAGTGGCCTTAATGCTCAAAAGCAAAATATTTTTTAATCACATTTATGCTTCACAGGCACATCCCTGCTACCATGCACACACCTTGACTACTCAACATGCTGAGTATACGATACAGATGTCCATCAGACGTCACTCCCCACTAAGATGCTGCCGATGTGTGTTGCACCAAAGTTTTTCAAACAATTCAACCCCCAAAAATTGTTATATTTCCCACATTTAAGGCAAATAAGTAACAATCTGTGTTGCCATGTGAAGCCACCATGTGTAGGAGTTTTATCTGATTACAGCATATTTAAGTTATTCTGATAATGCTTTTATTTGTGGTTTTTGATTGTACAAAAATAACACAGTTATGGAGTTTGGGGGGCACACAGGCAGACGCAGTGTCATTTTTAAATACGACCACAGGTTTAAAAGGCCAAAACTTGAATCTGTGATCTCACCTGTCAGCTCAGTCTCCATGGGAATGGTCACGCCAGTCATGGGGAAAAGGGTGAGGACGGACTTGTAGAGGCCTTGGTACTGAAACAGGTTTCCCGTGAAGTATACAGAGAGAAAGTCACTTTGGGTGCCCACGCTGGCCACATGCCAGAAGGTGACATCAGTTTGACACATCACAAACTGACGCCCGCTGAACATGATACCATTCACACCTGGAAGAGAATGGAAATCCAAAGTAGTTCACTGATACTGTATGTCACTGTGACCATTGTTCCACTGACAACCATTAAGAAGTAAATATACAAACTGAACTCCAAAGTGAACTCACTGTAGATGACATTGGAGTTGTAGAATTCAGCATCTGTGGTGTTAGAGAAGCTTTGGCTGGATTTCTGCATGTTTTCGTTAAAGTACCAACTTCTGTTCTCATCAAACACAGCAAATATCAAGCTCCACTCTTTATCCGGCCCCAACTACATGCAACAAAAGATTCAGTAAACACAAGACATAAAATTACATTAGTGGAGGCAACACTGCAGCTTGGATCTTCCTCTTCTGTCTATAAGTGCTATGTTGTATTCAAATTCTTCTCACCAGGCGTCCTCTGGTGTCGATGGCCTCATACTTGCAGATGAGCAGGGTGCCTACCAGCCCCGATGCCAAGTCCCTCTCTGGTGAGATGGTGCTCTGATACAGCGTGGTCAGACACTGGGGGTCTCCCTCCAAGGGCCCGTCATCTGGTGTTAGCTTCCAAACGTAGCCAAATGTTCCATTGGGGGGCACTGCCATGGAGCGTAAGTCCTTCTCTGCATCTGTTGAATAAGATGAGAGTAGATCAAGTTTTGATGTTGGGAATTTGGCAGCAAGCAGACAAACAGCATGACACAAACAACACAAACATAGTATGTTGAAAACATCATACATCTAAATTTCCTCATTTTAATTCTTAAGCATTATCTTAATTCAATTTGGTGGATTATCTTTTAAATCATATAGATATTTTATTAGTTTAATGTTCCTTCTGAGGGACCCTCCTTGGATATTTACACTCAAAAGCAATATATTAGGAATAACACATGATTTTAAAACCACTACGTGTACAATTTTTTATGTGGTTGTAGCATCTTTCAAATTAACTTTCACACTCAATCTTTGTGAGTATTTTGATGTCGTAAGTCTTCGGTATTAAAAAAATTAAAGAATTCCAGAAAAAGTAAATGCTATTTGTTGTTTCTGCCCTTTCATCTCTTCTCTCTGTCTTTAAATTCTACACATAGTGGCTTTAAAGACTCAAAGGAAATACACATTTTTATGTGAATATATGCCCAAAACAATCCTTCTGTCATGTCTTTGAGTAAAACATGGTAATAGTTTTGATGACTTATCTTGTACTGTGGGACATATTGAATAAATCTAATAAATGTGATTTGAAGTGACTTGACTATAAAAACACACTCTTCTGAGTGAGCCAATCAAATCCCTGAACAATTTGAAAATTCCTCTTGCGATGATAAACCTTCACATTTTACATTATACTTGGAAATATGTCACATTAAAGAAGGTAAAGATGATTTTACCTATCTACTGGATCTCTAATTAAGAGGTATTTGAATTCTGAGAATTACATTCGTTTTGTCTGTTGGTTTATGTCTGTGTTTAAGATTACCAGTTGTGGTTCTCTGCAGTGGAGCGATCTTGGTAAGGCCGTTGGGGTAGATGTTGAAAGGGCGACTGGCCAGGTTTCTGAAAGTGATCTGGAGACACAGTTTAAATCAGTGGAAGAGCAATAGAAAGGCAAACAAAGAATTTGTACTTTCACAATACCAGTTCTTAATTCTGTTTTTGTTAAAATTTCTTTTGATTTAGCTCATACTTCTCATGCAAAACAGACAAATTCCCAGATTATCTGTCCTTCAAAACTTGACTCACTCACATGGAACTGATCATTGATTTTCCCTCTCAGGAGTGGGCCCATTAAATTCTTGGCAGGGTTCTTCCTCTGAGTGAAAGATCCATCGGTGTATTCGACATACACCACCTTTTTATACTTGTAGTCCAGGTGATGGGGGGATGCAGGCAAATATGTGGATTGCAATTCACTGATGTAGCAGAGAAAAAAAAACACAATCACTTTATTGCAAGCAATCCATTTAATTCAAATCAATTCAGTGAGCCACTTCCTGATCCTCTTCTTCCTTCCCTTCCTCCATCTTTCCTACCTGTCTGTGGGTGTGAGATGAGGAGCGTAGTCCCAGGTGACCTCTTCAGCTGCGATATAATGCTGCCAGGTTTGAGACTGCTGTCCTCTGTTGGATCTCGCTTGCAGATGTGGCTTCTTAGGCTGATAGCTTATGGTGTTGAATAAATCATCTTCATCAGTGTAGTCTTCACTTTTGCCCCCGTAATCCCCGTGTTTGACGTTTCGCACGTCAGGTCCTGGCACAATGACGGGTTCGGGGCATTTCTCCACCGTGAAGAAGGCGTTCATACCATCTAGGTAGAGCAGTAATGCACCACAACAATCAGATGTATGACTCAGACTGAAGAGATGAAAATAATTTTTATCAAACAGATGTTTGTCCGTACCGTGACGGTGAGCATGTATCTGGCAACTGATAAGGAAGCGGCCTTCAGTGGTGGGTCTCATTTCTGCAGTGATGAAGGTCATAGGGGTCACCTCCATGGTGACTTTACGATGAGTCAACACCTGAAAAAACAAAGCCAGTGTATTAGATTTTAGTCAAGACTGTTTGAGAAAGAACATGATAATAATAAATTAGATCAGAAATTATAAATTGGTTTGTAACAGGTAAAAAAAGAATCTATTTCCTCCTGTATAATCATCCTGCCTGCTATTTGTGAAATGAGAATTAAATTAACAGAAAAGAAGCTTTCAAAGCACATGAGATTAACATCTTCATTGTTATGTTGCATACTTTAGACCGTACATTATATAATTACAGAAGCCCACTGGAGCACTGCAGGTTTAACAGAGTACTCTATGGTTTTGGCATGTCTGTTTTTGAGTTATTTGTGACATCACATTTCTGTTCAGTGTTAATGGGCATGTAGGGACAATCATTTAAACAATCTGAAATAATTTATGAAGCCCTCAACTTGTGCAAAACTAGAAAAAGAGGCACTGATTCTTGCCTCAACAAAGCAGAGTATGACTTCACTGAGTAAAAATCATCCAGAAATTGCATCTGTTGATCTGTTACTGGATCATTTATTTCAATCTTTATATTTTTAAGATTCAGCCCGTAGCATTCTTATTTTGGATATTAAGGATTTAAAAAAATCTTCTCTAATTGCCTCTTTAAAGTCTGTTTGTTATGACTGAATTACCTGCAGAGTGTGATCCTGAAACTGAATGGAGTGGATTTCTGGAGCCGTGCCCACCCCAACCAAATGCCAAAACACATGATTTCGGCCTTGACACATTGTCAAACCTACACACACACACACACACACACACACACAAACACACACACAGGCACACAGGCACACAACAGAGAGAGAGAAAGAAAATGAGGCCAAATTCCTGTGCAGACCAAACACAACACAACACTTAACATTACAACCCTTCATGGAACAAGCTCTCTGTCTGCAGCCAGTCTGGTTCATTACCTGGTAACGTAGAGTTGACATATCCATTGATGGTGTGGTATTCCTTCCTGCCTTGGCTCCTCTTGAACTTCTCTCTGCTCATCCTCTCTCCTATCTCTCCATACCAGCTCTTGGTCTCATCAAACACTGCAAACAGCAGGACGAATGCTGGATTTCTCCTCAGGCCTTCGTCTGTGAAGGCACCTGGGAAAACATACACACGTAATGCAGATATAAGACACAATAAGAGGTGTAAAGACCAAGATGTGATAGCATGTTTGCAATGCCATAGTGCAGCCAGAGATTATGCAATAAGATAGTATGGATATTTTGAGATTGAAAGAACAGCTAAGCTAACCAACCACAGCCAAATGACACTTTTCAGCAAAGGCCTGGGCTTAGTAATATGGATTTAGATCTGACATCAGCCAGAAACCAAAGTTATACCAGGTTTAATCCAAGTGATGAAATGATTTCTGCTTCTTGCTCGTTCTAAATGTTAGCATAACTTCAACAAAAATCTGTGTCTTTCTGTCTGTTTCTGTACCTGTATGTGTTTATAGGTAATTGAGATGATGAGATGAGGTGCAATGTGCATGATCAACATTAGAGAGAGCTTTACATAACAATAAATGATATAAAGACACAATAAATATGAGACAAAATGTTTGTCTGTAGGGAAACGTGTGGTCTCAAGTATAATTTAAACTTTCAAAACACTGGATCCTACATTTCCAACATCTCTGTAGCATCTTTCGTGAGATGCTATTGGACAATCCCTGACTGGCAAATGTCAATGTTCTACCAATTTCACAACCGCAGCTGGTACCACAGAAATTCTTATAAAGTTTGTAGTCTTCAAGTACAAGCTGAAATCATTATGTTTTAAGACTTTGGAAAGCCCCTTCCAGAACCACACAGGAGACTATATAACTGTTTTCACAGGCTGAATGGTACTCTCTGTTGTCGAGCAAATTGAACTTAAAAGACCATAACAGACCAAAGCTGCCTTTGGTCCTCAAATTACTGACTTGATTTGCAGATGAGCAGGGCACCGATGAGTCCTGAGTTGACGTCTCGGACTGTGTCCACCTGGGATGAGTAGGAGTAGGTGAGGCAGTCAGGGTCGCTGGTGGTGGGGCCATCCTTAGGGCTGATATCCCACACATACTCATAGTATGCTCCTGGAGAGACGGCGTCATCCTCCTTCTCCTGACCCGCTGTGGAGTCATCATACCCGACTCCTGGAAAGAGAAGACACAGCATGAGTCTGTGTAGTCATTCAGCAGTACAAGTGGGTGAAAGCAGGAAAACTACAGTCACTGCAGGATAAAGGGATAAATTAAATGAATGCAATTCTCTCCTCTTTGAGAAAAAGAGAGAGTGTAATTAAAAATAAATAAATCAAATCAATCAATCAGCTGTGTGACATCACAATAGAAAAAATAAATGTTTTTCATATGGGAATGTTTAAAATTGCAACTTCAGTTAAGTAAATCGTATCAGGAATAACGTAAAACCACAGTCTGTGCTGATGTAAAAACCACATCCAGGGGAAGCTCTGACTCATGATGATATGCAACAATGACTTCAATCCAACACGTGCGCACACACACACACACACACACACACACACACACACACACACACACACACACAGGTGCACACCCTCAATATTAGGCTGATTAGATCTGCTTTGTGAAACCTCATTGCTGGACGTGACAGAAGCAGCTTTTCAGATTATGATAAAACTGCATTCTAAGAGTCAAGCCTGAGGCAGGGAGACATGAGCCGTTTACTGGAAGTGACTGCAGCATTAGGATATATGTCAGCGGCTGCCGTGAAGGGGATTTATCCCCAAAAGCTTCTTAGAACAAGGATATTCAATCATTTAGATATTTTTAACCGCACGTTTCATGGAGAAAACTTGCGCTGTAACAGACTGACTGTTTGGCTCTAAAGTGCTGCACAGAATCTGCACACACAAGATAATGATAACCGTTGCCTGCTGCAATTTCTAAAGAATGAGGAGGCAACTTTTTGGGAAGCTAAAACTTTTTTCTTGATGATTCCTAAACCATTTACACTTAGCTTTGAATATCTTAATCAAACCATTCATGACTATTACCAGTAAGTGGGCAGTAATTCGATTAAGTTTACATTAACATTCTTGTCTTTTGCAGTGAACTGATTCTTTGCTCATTTTTGGCTCAGAAACAAAACGTGTGTGGCTATCTGACCTCACCTTCATCTAAGTCACAGTGGAACATTAAACTTATAGGCTTCTTGTGTTTTTTTTTTTTCCATTTTCTCATCTAGGGTATAACCTGGACTTCACATTAAGAGCTGAGTATGAGTCAAAAAGCTGAGTAAAGTTCTTGGTATCACTTGGCCACAAAAAACAGAATGTAGCTGACTAACATACAGTTTGTGATGCATCGCTTTAAGGTTTAAAAGTTCACGTCCAAAAGATAACAACTTTTCCTCCCGTTCACTTCACTATACCTTCAGACTGTTTCCAGTAGGTGATTCCTAAAGGGCTGATACTGTAAGGCTGAGAGGCCAGGTTTTTGAAGTGGACCACCACCCGGTCACCAGCCTGCGCAACGATCACCGGGCCTTGAATACCTGCAACCAGTGGACACAACTTTCTTTAAGAATTCATACTAATAGTAATAAAAATCAGAAGATACGTGCTCTGAAACAGAACTAGTAACTATGAAGTTTTCTTATTTGGGTTGAAAACAGGCGCCGTGCATGTCTACAAAATCCCTGTTGTGAATATAAAACAACTGAAAACTTCATTTCCATGAAATGAAAGTTTTTGTTCAGCCGTTGAAAGATTGGTATTATCCTTTGAGAAAAACACAAAACAAAGATACAAAATATGTGGCCTAATAATGAACATCATTGGAGGAGACCTACCTGTCCATGCTGGTCTTGGCTTGGGGACACTGTATGTGGAATCTGTATACTCCCTGTAAACTGCCTTGATGTATTTTTGAGGAATATCTTTGGAGAGCCATCTAAAAAACAAACAAACAAAAACAAAATACAGGATATTAGTGAAACCAAATCAAATAATAAGAAAACTGCCAGAAAACACTCAAGAAACCCATCTTAACTGTTTTCATTTTTTTAATTAACTGTCATTATATTCATCTGTCAATATTTTAACCAGCTTCTAATAAATTCCTGTAAAATATGACCCTTTATTGGAAGCAAACCAATCGTCGTAATATCATCACACTTTATTGAACAGTACACGCTTTAAAAACTTCTAAAATTAAGGTCAAACTGACCTATAAAGACTTCTACAGTGTGCCGCCCAAAAATAGTGGGTTACTAAAATTCAACAAAGAAACATTCACCTTTGGTCGGAGTCACCATCGTCCAGGTAGAGATAGTCCCAGCCGATTTCTACAGCTGCTATGTAATAGTCTCTTACAGCGGGGGCAGACGGCTCCACTTCTCCGGCGGAGCAGCGGAGCAGCAGCGGCAGCAGCAGCGGCAGAAGAGTCGGCCTCATCGCAGTGTGCGCACCTGTGGGGTCCACCGTGTCCCAGGTCAAAGTCGATCCAGGCTCTGGCGCTCCTCCTGTGGGCTGGAATATTTAAAGGGACGGGCTGCGGGGGTGGGGTGGGGAGAGGACGATTACAAGGGAAACTGAGGTTGCATGTGGGGGCGTGTGGTGGTTGGAGTGTGTGCGGGTGAGATTGTGCGAGCTGTGCTATGATAAGATCAGATGAGACTTTATTGTCCAGGGAGAGAAATTTGTCTTGGACACACCGAGCTGCAAATGAAACCGGTAAATCACATTAAACAAGGATCATACAATCTTGCCATATAATATACATAAATAAACCTAGAACAGCACTGGCCACAACTCTTTCTTAAGGCACCCATTGTAAGAACTTTGCTTGGCTTCATACATGTTACTTAACCATTTATATAAACAGTTATAAGCCATTAATAAAAACAAATTTTGGGTTGCCAGATTGGGGAAAACCCCCCAAAATCCATTAATTGTCAACTTGATTATATTTATATGTATTATATACTTGATTGCTTACATGAAAGTGGGAAACAAATTAATTTTACCTGATGGATTGCCAACATTTAGAACTGCTGTTATTGATGGGTTATAACTGATCTATAAATAATTAGTATTCAATTATTTATAAACCATTAATGAAGCCATTTGATGCGATTTATAAATCTTTTGAAGGTGGCATCCTTGTGGGTATAATCGCATTGTGTTAAATTTGTGTATGTTTGGGATTATGAATGCAGTATTTTTTCTCTCTGACATAGATTATTATAGATTGTATAACAATTTGCAGGCTTTGGTGTACCCATATACCTGTGATTTAATGAGCTTGGCTATGATTCATTTGCCAGAAGGTTTTGGCTGATTGATGGAGTGTTAATAAATAACTGTAGTACAATACAATAATTACCCACACATCACATAGAACAAGTAGGCTTCAATTCAGTACCCTTTACTTGATTAAGGATTCTGGTAACTGACACCCTGGGCAGAAGTTGCTGGAGAAAATTGTGGTTAAAAAAAAACTACAAAAAAAGGTTAAAATTGAAATGATTTGAAAAAATGAAATGATACACTCTCCAAATGTGGAAATGTGACAGAAGCATGTTTTCATTACTAGGCTTCACTGACACCTTGTGGCAAATAAAAGGTACTGCAGGACCTCTTCATTGTAGGCTACACCATAACAGCAGGGCCAGCCCTATAATGTGGAATGTCCCAGACTGACTGACTGATATATTTAAATCTCGTGTCAAAGTCCCTAAATTGGCAACACTGGAAAGACAAAGCTCCTGTGTATCAGTCAATGCATTAGTAGCAGATCCATCCAATCGATCACGTCGCTATAACCAATAGCCGTTTATTTCAGCATTTATTTGTATATTTATACTACCTTATACTGTCATTTTTCATCCTTCATACAAACCTGGTATATGACAGGACCGTTTATGGATGCCAACCAGGGGCTTAGAGCTACACGTCTTGTTACGGCAGTCTACTGCAGCAAAGTGGAGGAGCGCTTCCAATACACTGAGCCTTGCCTCCATTACAGCACATAAACTACTTTCATTACGTGTACCATTATTACTAAAGGAGGCAGAGAAATAATTTAACATAAGAAATGGAGGGAGAGGGAGAAGTCATCAGTAATGAGGCTTAGCCTACATATCAAGCCTACATATTAGACATAAGGACCTGCCTCAAATAAATGTCTGTTACGTTCTGGAGTTGAAGTAAATAAAGGCAAAACTATTGTGGATCCCAGACGGAGGCTGTGAGCTGTGTGAGACCACGTCATGGTTATAAAATCAGGATTTGGCCATAAGCGGTCCAGCCACATACTAGGCTTTGACCTAGTCTTGTTTTTCACTGCAGTGATAAAGTGCACGGTGTTGAAAGTTAAGAGGCAGTGTACAATAAATGGTTTCACTATTTTAATGCAAATGTAAAAAGTTTTGTTTATAAAATGGAATACGAACAATTCAATAAACAAGCGTTACTCCATGACTCTGACAGAATATGTTGACCATGCGTGTATAAAACTAATTTAAATAGTCAATAAAAACAGAGGCAGAACAAACAATAGCAACATATCACACTTTTTTAAAGAAAAAAAAAAAGTCAAAAGATAATATAATATTAAATGGTTCATATTTCTTCAGCATTTTGGGCTGTATGGGGATACCAAAATCAGATCCAACTAGTTAATTACAGAATTTCCTCTCTTTACCTTTGGAGGAAACTTCTATGCAAAACAACACATCATATTTTTTGTGCCTCTTTTTCACAAATCTCTCTAAGAATTCAGTCTCAGCATCAGACACACTGAGAAACTATAACCAGCTGCACTTTCTTACTTATATCTCGACTGTAAACCAATGAACATAAGGACATAAAAACATTAAATTACAGAGCTCATCCACAAGCACCAGAAAGATAATGTGAGAATGACATAACTTTCGAAATGAGCATTACAAGATGATTATTACCTTATACTCTACATTTAGGTTAGTTTTATAAACCCAAACTTTGCATAAGAACATGGAAAAAAATACCAATCTGTGCCAAAAGATATCTGCTAGATTCAATGACAATACTGATCATAGTTTCAGTGAGTTGACCTCTATGATCTGCTGCAGGATGCTGTCTACGTCAGTGGTCTCCATACTGATGCCAGCCAGGTCCAGCTGGGGCAGCAGGGCTGTGAGTAGTACCACCACGTTGTTACGGATATCACGCAGATTTTCCTGCGCTGATCTGTTTGGAGAACAACTTCATTATCAAAGCTGGAAAACTTAACAGGTTGTATTTCACATTTCAGTAGCTCAGGTGAAAAGGCTTGTCTTGTCGCACCCCATCTGGGTAGTTAAGTTACCTTTTTGTTTCTCCTAGTGTTCTTTGTCTTTGTACTTCCTGTTTTTATTTTGATACTCGCCTCTTGTCTTGTTTCAGGTCATTTACTTCCTGCCCTAATGTTTTCCTCATGTGTCATTACCTGCCCTGCCCTAATGTGTTGCACCTGTGTCTCATTGTCTCCCCTCCCCCTGAGTATATAGTCTTAGTGTCCCCTTCCTTCTGTGCCAGTTCGTCTTGTTCCTTCGTGACAGCGTTCCAGCATTTTTCCTTCTGAGTTTCTGGAGCCAATAGTTTCCTGACCTGTTTTTGCCTTTTGCCTGCTGATTTGGACACTGTTGCCCTTCTGACTGATCACCTGTGTACTGACCTCATTCTGATTTAAAGGACAGATTTTTTAACTGAGTCTGTGCCTGCATTTGAGTCCAAGCCTGTGGTTCAGCATTGACATGTCTGGGAACATTAGTTTTTAATCACACATCAATGAAAATGGAGAACCAGAACGCACAAATAAGTGTAAAGGATATGACGTCAATGCTTTTGGAGAAGTGAGAGTAAAAAAAAAAAAAAAACAGCAGACAGGTGGTAAAGACAGATACTAACATAGTTAAGGTTGATTTATCTTTTAAATAGGAGAATTTATGTTTTTCCTTTGGTTCATTTGTCCGCTGAAAACAATCCCTGCACATAAATGTCAACTAAAACATAAATGTCCTGCCAACTACAGGAAATGAATCTAAAATCCAGGACTTTATTCTTTAAGTATAGAGACAGATGTTTATATCTGAGAGGCAGCAGTTTGTTGTGATTGGCTAGCCTAACTTTTAAAAAATGAAGTGAAGGCAAACGCCAGTCTGGACATTCTCAGCTATTTGTTCATATGTGCTTACCTTGTATGCACAGAGATAGTAATAGGATTTATTTCTACTGCTGTCCACTACCCAAATCTTTAATAAATCTATGATTAAGCACCTAGTTTCTAAACAGTAAACAAACCAACGTGTCAACAGGCATGAGCAGAATGCACAAGTACGATTAACAAATGAATCAAAAATTGGTTTACAGATAATTTCATTATATACAGCTAGTGGTGCCTGTGCATGCAACTACATGTGCATGTCTATCCAGAATATACACACCTGCTGTCTTCACAGGCCTCGCTGTCACAGACTCTGGTCCTGCTCTGAGTTTCAGTTTTCTCCTTCCAGGGTCGGTTCTGCTCAGGCTGCTCCTTCGACCCACATACAGCTCTTTGACCCTGGACCAGCACAGCTAGGGACGGGCTGCTGGATGAAGCAGAGCTCTGATGCAGAGGAACGACAGAAGAAGGGATACAACTTAAGAGTTTGCTGTTAGATCTTCATTTAAGGTTAATGAGTCTGAGCAGATTTAGGCGACCTGGAATAAAGGATGTTATATCCCCATAGCAGTTCATTTAGTTTAAAAAGCACTGCACTCCTATGGTTTGGTCACACAACTTGTAATTAAGACAGGGGAGAATTTACATTTTTTAACATACCACACAGAGCATTCTGAGCTTGAGCAGGGTAATCTTTTTCATCTTTTCTAATTAATTCCCAATACAGCTACCACACATTTTTACTGGCAGTCATATCTTATTATTTGGGCAATATTTTAAAAGCTAAATTCAGGATGATTTTCCTTACAGTGGCACTCCATTTGCTTTGCTTTGCTTTGCTTTCCATTCAGCTTAGATTTGAAGCAAATAAATACAGCTAAAATATTAATTAGATGTGTTTCTTTTAGATAGGTTACTAATGATTTCAATGAAAACTAACTGTAAAAGTGGCTACTGTTTTGTCATTTAAGTTATTTATATCTGTATTTCTGGTCATTTGACATTAAAACCAAGTCATGCCTTTTTTCAATATTAAAAAGCATCAACTAAAAAGCCATGCCAGAATAAAAACACTGCAAACCAAAAAAGTTTTGAGTGGCAAAATTGAGTACGTATGGTTTACTTCACAATTTCCATTGAGTTTTGTAAGTTATCATCAATTTATCAATGAAGAATATAAAAAATATTGAATATTAACTCTGCTGACCTCAGCTATGTCCGTCTGGCAGCCAACCTCTCTGCTTGCTGTGGATGCTGGCAGGTCTTTTGGATTTTCTGTACTGCTATCAGCAGTTGTCATCGTGCCTTGAGATGTCTTTGTGACTTCCAGACCTAGAAGCCTCCGTAGCCCCTGAACCTCTTTCTCTAACCCAGCCAGTTTCTGTACTTTAGACTCCCGCTCACTCCCTTTGAGAAGCAGTGGTCTGCTCCATGGCCCTTCTGTTCGACTCAGTGGAGAGACCATCACAGTCTGGGTGGAGGGGAGCGAGTGGGTCCAGGTGAGGCCTGTCTGTGTTTGCTGCACTGTGTCACCTGGTTTCTCTACTCGGCTGCTACTGTCCGGCTTGGTCCTCTCCAAGGAAAGTGTCTCAGACACATGTGTTTGTTTCTCAGGATTGTCTGAGTTTGGCTGCCGCTCCTCCCAAAGGCATGTCCTCTTTCTCCCGTAGCAAAATGACAATCCCGACTTCCTTTTGTGGCTACAGAGAACAAATGCTAGTCAGTTTGTTGAAGATCCGTGTGTGAAAATTAACTTGCAATTCTCATATAAATATCTTTCAGACATATAATCCACAACAGTGAGCATTTCATGGGCTTTGTCTTGTTGTCAAAGTTATGTTTTTATTGTGTGATAATGCAGCTGAAAACAAAGACAGCTCTGACAATTCTCCGTGTTAGCTTCAGGGTTTTCTTGCTGAAAATGATGCAAAGATGGTACCTCTAAACTCACTACTGACACTCTATTAATCTATTTTTATAAATAGGAAAACAACTTACTTATTCTGCCAATAGTCACTGGCAATGAATTCATAATCGTATACTGTAACTATATAATCGATGACAGTGTTTGGGTATTGTTATAATGTTACATGTTATAATTCAAAGAATTAAGGGGGTTTTGTTAAATACATGCCATGCTAAGTATTATCTGACCAAAAATCCACATATTTAAAAAGAAATGTCGAGAATCATATCTATTAACTGTCAGCACCTGTCTTCTAAATCAGAAGGACACTCCAAAGGTTGGACTAGAAAGTTTTCAGAACTGTTCCAGCTCCCAACTGCATTACCACATACTCATGACACAATGGAGTCTCTCATGGAGTTTTTCATTAGAAATCTAAATGAATGTTCTTAAGGGTGTACTCTACTTGTTATTTGATTATTCACAAGTCTGAACTTGCATACACTGCTTACGTGTGCAATATACCCCACCTTAATGTGTCTGTGCTCTCCTCTTCTCTCTCGAATGGCTCCACGTTGGTGTCTTTCTGTTTGTCGTTCTCTGTACCTTCAAAGGTTTGAGAGTTTGTCTCATTTTCCAACTGCAAAAGTCCTTGTGTGATTCCTGTCTTGTCTCTAATGACTGTGTGTCTTCCAGACGGCTTCTGTTGTGTGCGGGCGACTTCACCTGTCACCCTGTTTTGTGTCTGTACATTGTCATTCGTGTGCGTGTCTGCGTGATCATCTTCACAGTGATCTGTGTTTGTCTGATCATGTTCCAGTGTGTTTTCCTCTGTGTGCCATCGATCAGGTGTGCGTGTGGACTGGAAGGTGGGCTGGCTCGGCTCTGATGAACTACGTGAGAGGATTTGATGTTTTGCCACTTGGTCCTGGAACTCACACACCTGCAGCACACACACATAACACACATCAGAAGTGGTAGACAGTACAGTGGTACCTTTATCAATGAGAAACTTTCAGTATAAGAAACACTTTTCACATACCTCCAATGATTTTTCTCGTTTTCTGCTTTTGGGATGCTCTCTGTAGGAAATTCCAAAAAGATAACAGAGTTGACTTGGGCAGATAATTATCTAATTATCTTCAAGAAAGTCATTTTTTCCTGTGACCTGTTGGAAAATGTCATTGTTCAACTCTCTAATCATTCTAATATTACAAGAATATCATCTTATTTTGAGGTTTTTACTATTAATATTTGGTTTAAGTGACAATGTAATGTGTAATGAGAGATAATATAAAAAGTGTGAGTAAGGCTGCGTCACAAATTGCAGTCTCGTTGTTCATTTCAATGACACTGCTGCTTTGACACAGAGGAGGAGTTGACATGATGGGATCCAGCAAAAAAAAAAAAAAACAGTGCAGGATGATCAGGCCAAAAAAAAAACCTCACTCAAATTTTGCAGCAAATCAATGCAACATCATCCATCACATCAAAGTAATTTGGACAGTATTTTGTATGGTGATAAACAGTGTGTGTGCCTCAGCTCTAATTGCAGAATGGTACATTTTGAAAACACAGGAAGATTTTTTGCAAGCACATAAATTATATCTTGTGGAGAAATTATAAACATGAAAAAATAATTTAATTTGAGAAAACAAATATCTGTTCTGTGTTTGTGTCTTTGCTATTATCAACGTACTACAAGTGCATAATAAGAACCTTTCTCACTCCGTTTTATTCATATGCTCTTTCTCTGATTCCCTCACACTTAGTGCTCTCAAACCTTCTGACACTTGAGAAGTACTGGAAAAATTGTTAAGTAGGCCTACCACAGTCACACATATGTAGTTTACACAGTTCTGGTAACATGCCGAATTTCATGAGCCTCTATGAAATTTTGCTTGAAGGTTAGTCTATAGTTTATTAGCTTGTGACCTAGCTAGAATTCTAGCTAACTTCTGCCTGATAACCAGGTGCTATCTAAGGTAGTTAGCTAGCTTGATGATTCCAGCTACCAATAAGCTGTTAAGTTAAAATAATTCAAAAAACTATTTTTATATTAAATGTTTACCAAGTTTTTGGTATAAAATTTACGAGTTACACGAAAAACTAACTTAGTCTCATCATCTCAGGCAGAGAACAGCTTTCTCTAATAGTTAGTCACACACATACAGTCACGTGGACAACCACCGGAAATAAGAGTGTGAAACTGACAGATGGAAACCACAAAATGGCACATGGACCCACACACACACACACACACACACACACACACAAACAGTCATGCAGGAAGAATAGCAGTGTGAAACGTCTGTCCATTACATTTTCACACAAACAGACGAAGTTTGAGAAAGCTGGAGATATTGGAATTTACTGTTTCTTGTGGTTTTTCTGGTAACTGGGTGTTAACAACTTCTCTGTCTCTTCTGTTTCCTCTGGTGAAGAGCAGCTTCTGAAAGACAAAGAGATCTGGCATAGCAACTCAACTACAGCTCAAGGCCTTCCTGTTACGACCAGCACACTCTCATACCCCACACTGGCCTCCTCCGCCTGTTGAAGCACATATAGATGTCTTGAGTCTTGTGACTGCTAATTTATTTTGGATTTGAAATGGCGATGTTGTGGCTCATGATCGGCCTCTTAACCTCTAAGTCCGACATGTTGGTGCCCCAACACGCAAGGTCTTTAACATTTTAAGTCTTAAGTCCAATTTAAGATAAGTCATATCACACAGTTTGGTGGACTGCCCCTTCAATTAGACACCTTATTTTTTTCAGATACTGCTACACTACATATTGATGATAGTGTGGAGGTAGGTAGTGGCATATAAATATTCTATATCCTGTTAAGGAAGGAGAACTTACTTGTCTATGGCTATTGTCAGCCCATTAAACGTTCACAAGTAAGTTATTTTGCCTAATCCAACCAATGTAACACTGATGTACTACCTCTGATCGTGACGGTTGACTCGTGAGCATGCACCCGCTTCTGCACTCATTCATGTAAACCAGAGGTTTTCAAACCCTGGGTGCACCTCCACAGGGGAGAGTTGCAGGGGGCGTGTAGGGAGAGACGTGAGGCAAATATTGTTTGAGGTGAAAGGGACAGGTGCATGCAGGTGTTCTAACAACAATGGCAAGTTAGTTGCTGCTTGCCACAATTTGCATCAAAAATCATCATAGTTAGTCAAATCTCAACACAAAGACATGAAACACATATTTTTAGATTCAGTGTGACTTACAGGTTATCTCCAATGTCCATCATGAATAAACAATTTGCCTGACAATAACTATGTTTTTAAGTTTTCTTCAGTATCAACATAATCCAGTGATACTTCTCGAGATACCCATTGGTACATTGCAATCAGGAACTGTTAAGGTGCCAAATTGCCAAAAGTTACACAAATGGAGGTTAATAAGGGAGCTTTTTAGGTCATGTTTAGTTCACAGCATACCTAACTGAGGCCATAGTAATTTTATACTTCCTCTTTACATTCCCCAAAGCATTGTGGGAACTGTAGTTCCAAAACCTAGAGCTTGACTACCTACCAAGTAGAAGTAAGACAAAGAATAATAACAGAAAAGACAAAATATCAATATGAGCTAATATTAATATAACTTTTCATTGTGCACAACAAGCACTCAATGGAGCTCCAAATATCCCATAAATATTTGAGGGTGGGGGAAAATAAAGTAGAAAATCAATAAATAAAGAAATGCACACCTGTAACGTGGATTGGGGTTCTGGCTGCAGTCCCAGCTTTCGGGAACGACACTGTAATGGCTTGGAGGTACGCTCCGCCACTTCAGGCACTCCTCACACTGTAGCCACAAGGGCCCCCTGCAAGTACAGACAAATACGTGTGAAAACTGTCAGTTAAACAGAAGTCGAGAATAAAAGGGGAAGTCAGCTAAAAATAATAATAACAAATAACTTTCAAAGAATTTATCAAATGATCCAAAGATGTGTGCATGAATATGTTTGTTCTACAGCCATATACAAGATAAAAATGTTTTCTATCTAACTTCTGTATATGTCCTAGTTCAGTACACCACACAAATTAAGTTCATTTGCTTTTAAAGGCTCTTGAAATTCTCAACGAGTTTACTCTTGTTGAGAGCAGCTTCAGAAGCAGCGTCTCCATTCTCTGGTTTCAAGCTTTTTTTTTCTTTTCATTTATCTATTTTTTTTATTTTGCAGGGGGGTGGGGGGTGTCACTTTTGGTTGAATTAAGTTCCTTCCTGACAGATGTAGGTTATCAGCTGATCTGAATTTGGTATGGTAATTATCCATGAAAGGCTTGTAGGGCACAAACTGGTAATTTCTTTACTCACTCACGGTTTTAACATGATCGGGTACAGATAGTCAGATGGAACAGAGGCACTGAAATCCTTTTTCAGCAGCACCACACTCAAACTGACTGTGTTTGCACACTAATAATAATAATTATAATGATAATGAAGAAGAAGAAGAAGAAGAAGAAGAAGAAGAAGAAGAAGAAGAAGAAGAAGAAGAGGAAGAAATGATTCTTGAGTTGAAATTTAAAAACTGAAATCAATTTCGCATTGTTGGATTGATGCAAGGAGAGTCTTGTCAAGTTATGAACACACTTGACGATGAGGAGAAGAGTTTTCACGACTTGCTCTACTACTGTCAAAAAACAAAACAAACGAGAAAAAAACAAACAGGTGACACTAACTCATCAACGTCATTCTTATCTTCATTTTCATCTCTGTCTAGAGCCTGAAACTCTCGCTCTCTGGCCTTCTTCTCTGTCACCTCCTTCCAGTAGTCGTTGAGTTTTAGGCCCAAAGCGCCGAGGGTGAGTCTTGCGAGGAGAACAAAGGAAAAGACAGAACACACACAAATGGATTAATAAGAGTATATAGGCAAATATTTCTTAACAGGTTTTACCTTTAAAGATAGTGTGACCAATATCAACATTTCAGCTTCTCGACTACAAAACACTCACATGTGGCGTTGCATGTGTGGAACATGAAAACACTTCCAGGAAGAGCTGCATGAGTCATTGGTTCTGTTTGCTCATAACCTTAAAATACTGTATGTAGCACTAATGTCTGTGCACTATTGTAAGTGTAGTGGAAAAGTGAAGTGTGACTGAATTTGTAACTTGTTGAATGCATCATATGTGTGCTCTCATGTAACTTTTGTATCTGATAAGGTGTTCCGGTTAAGAGCTGAACTGCCCTTGACTGTGGTAAAGAAGCAGTTCCTTATCTGCATTCTTTCCCCTTTTCACGGGTTCTGTCTCCTGAGAATTTACATCTACCTGCCTGTGCAGCCTGAACTTACCAACTGTCAGCTAGGGGCGGATACTCCCACATTCTTGTTTGCCATAGTATAAGAAACTGAAATTGTTCTCTCATCTCACTTTGTGTGGACCATTCATCTGTCATTGATCACTGTGTAAGTGCTGAGCCCATTTGCTAATGCTATGTTGAATAAAAATGACAGACCTGAGTCTTGATCTTTTTTAAGATTTCCACAAAACCAAGCATCAACCTAAACAGCTAGTTCACTCCATAGTACGTCTTCCGTGTATCTGACATTGTTTGTTTTGTATGGGTGTTGTACCTGTATTCTTTGGTGTATTCAAAGTCTTGCTTGTTGTGAGCAGGTTTGAGAAAGTTACACTCGATGATACCGATGACCCCGACTCCTGCTCTTTGACCTGAAGCCTGTAGAAAATGAAGAGTGAGATTTAATAAGAGGCAAGTATCCATTAATATAAATATGGAGGAAAGCACTGCACTTGTCACGTGTTAAGACAAAGGGTAAAATCCTTTTTTCTTTTTCTTTACCTTTAGCTGGCAGCCCACTTTCTCGTACGCTTTAATGAGTCGGTTCTTGTGGTACATCATGATGCCATAGTGATCTTTGTTTTTCGGACTCAGCCCAAAAGTCACTTTCACCTTCTCTTTCTGACAGAGATCAGTCAAGGTTAGCAGGACTGAGCAACGGCATGTTTCAGAATATTATCACTTCATGTAAATATTTAGCAAGCTCAAGGTATCAGCGGTGAACAGAAGCAAAAGGCAGAATTGATATTGACCTGCTTTTTTTGTTTTACAGATAAATGGAGGAAACTGCCCATATGAAAATCTCCAATACTAATGCTTATTTCATACTTGAGTTTCTGTGCCAATACCTAAACCTGTGAGAAATAATTTCCTATAAAATTGTTTTTTTATTCACAAAAGAAGCCAAAGCTCTCAAATGTTCAATGTTGTCAAAATATAAGCATTTACAGACCTGTTAGTGATAATATGAACTCTTTCTTGTAACACTGGATATCATAGATTTCCAATAAATTGCATTGTAATTCTGTATTTGTGTGAACCCATGTCTTGCATTTTTTTCATTTTTGTCAATTTAGTGGATACTGCATCATTTTCAGAACACACAACTTCTTTGTCCAGTTTTTCTGTAATGGACAGACCATTGGTCAGCGTGTTTGACCAATCAGGTGTAGGAGAGGTTCATGTTAATGCTAAATTTACATAGAACACTTTCAGTCTTGAATTGCGCAGCTTGAACATGATGAACATGATAACTTTGTCAGGCTAAAACTAATCCTCATTTCCATAATTCTCCATACACTGTAAAGTTCTTGAAAGGAGATGAGAGGATGTAAACAAACGACAAATATGAAAGTGAAAATGAAATTCTAGATGATACAAAACCCACATGAATTGGAGCTGCGATGCTTGTTTTCATTTTCCCTTCTCTCACTCAGCTATAGTGAGCAAACACGCACGCACGCACACACACACACACACACACACACACACACACACACACACACACACACACACAGATAGTGAAGGGATACACTGAAGTGGGGTTTGTACACGTCATGCTCAATGTGTGTCAGCCTCTTCGACACCAGCTTGGCAAGAATCTTCTTCCCCCTCAGTATGATCTGTGTCCTTGGTTTCAGATACAAAATGCTAAGGTAGGCCTGAGACAAAGAGACAAATAAAAGACAATAAAAAATAAAACTCACTTTATTGAATTTTTAATATATTAGCTTGAAGGAATGTTTTTTAAGCTTTAAAAGTGTTAAAACTCCTTTAGGTGACATACTGGCTTGACACTTCCTGCCTAACACTGAATGTTAAAAAGAAAACTGTACTCTTATGTGCTTCTCAAATAGAAAGCTCCCAATCACAAACAGAGACTTTGACACTATGAGACTTCTTTTGCACAAACTGCATTCTCAATTACAGGCACGACTCTCTAGAATTCACTTCCTCTTGACCAGAACCTCATGACACCAAACAGTCTTTTTGAGTTTGTGCTAAAAGTAATCTGTGATATGTTTTTCTTTTATTTTTCTTTTATTCTATATTTCTTGTTTTGTTTTATTTGGTAAAAAAAAACTTATGATTTGTTTTGTTTGTTTGCGTGTTGTCATGGATGGTTTCAGCTCTTGTTTTATTACTATATGCACTTATTTTGTATGCAGTCATATGCACTGCACTGATATTGTATGCACTAATATATGATATATATAATAGCCCTGTACTGCAACATATAATCTGAATGATTACTTGATCCATCACTGCCCATCAAGGGACTGGTGTTAGAAATTAGCTTCAGCTAAATACATACATACAGTGCTTCGGTACTTTTGACACTGCTTCTGTAACAGTCAATGTTTTTCTGTGTTTGTCCCACACAGATAAACCAAAAAAAGATCAATACATCATCATCATCATCATCATCATCTTATTATTACTGTTACTATAAAACCACAGCTAAGTCTCTGGTAGTGGAGAGTCATGGTTTGTACATGAAACAGGCACACACACATTTACACCCAGCCAACCAGCCACTTACCCACCCACCCACACACACACACACACACACACACACACACACACACACACACACACACACAACACAAACACACAACATAAACCTAGAAACCTCACTGCCTAGTCTCGTCTCCTAATCCTAACCAGCACCGATTAGAATACCCTCCGTACTACCACCGCACACACACACACCAGTTTTGGACTAATTGTTGCGATGTAGGGACTTACCCAAACCTTAACCACAACCACTACATATCTTAGCCTGAATTCTACTCTAAACCTAATCTTAACCACTAACTCTAAACTCATCCAGATGAGCTCTAAGTGTCCCAAAAGCCCAAATATCAGTGCTGTGCGATGAGTCCGGGTATCTTCAATTTTGGTGATTTTTCAAATTAATTTAAGGATTTTGTGTTGTGTGAGAAAAAAATCTCTTATTTCTCAAACTACATAAACCATTTAAAATCCACTGGATTATCTGAAAAATGCATTTTCACATTGGTGAAAACAGGGTTATTTTTCTTAGCTAATGAAAAGGTGGGGATGAGTGTTTTTCACAGGGCAACAATATGTGTTTACACTAAACATTTTAAGCTGCATTACATGTTTGAAAGATGCTGTACTGCATTAGTTATCCTCGCTGTCTAACAGAATCAGAGTGGGTCAATCTCCTCTTGAACAAATTATGCATCTCAATCTGCTGAGGAAGATCGTGTGATGCAACTGAAAGCTACAGAACATCTACTAAATGGACTGTGTGGTGGTATTGTTCCCAAGGTCATGAATGAACTTTCAATCCCGATTTTTAAGGCAACATGGATGAGAAGTGCTAAAAAATATTGGAAATATGAACATCTGAGCTGAGGAAGATCCTGTGATATGAGTGAAAGCTGAGATTGTTTACACACCTTTAGGATCTTTTTACAATAAATGTACTGTTTAACTTCACCATGGACTCACCCTGAGACTATAGTGCATGTCGGGGATGTTCTGCTCAGCTCTCAGGGATCCACTGTTCCTCAGTCCCTTCTTCAGCTCCTCAATATGAATCTCTGGCAAACGGAAGTCAGTCACGTCGCTCCCAAAGTCGATCTCCGGCTTGCCATCTTTGGCCCTTCAAGACAATATCAAATTATCGTGCAACCAAAAATCCGGCAGATTTTCCTGTTTTAAAGGAGCTGTTTGTAAGTTTAGCCAACGTTAGCATTAACAGCTGTTTACTTACTAGTCTAGACGGAACAGTGCAAGTTCAGCTTTAGTCTTACTCGCCATGAGCTTTCTCCAGCAGTGAAAAGCAACGCCAATGTTGAAGCTCATTTTGCTTCTATTTCTTTCACTTCTTTTCTTTGACTGAAGTTAGCATGCTAACTAGCTCTTGTCACTTTCTGGTACCAATTCTAGAGCGTCCAGTCTGCCCTGAAGAAGTAGCGCTGCTCAGAGGACGTATTATATCCTCTTGTCTTCTGAATGAAACAATGGCGGAAGCTCTTGACAAGACTGGTAAGTAAACAGCTGTTAATGCTGATGTTGTCTATGTAGCAATGGCCAAACTAACAAATAGCTCCTAGCTAGCTCCTAAAGCTACACAAATGGCACAAGATCTCATCTACATGACTTGAATATAGCTAATCTTGATAATTGCAGTACTTAGTATTTGTTGATTTTGATCGCTGTGGTGAGCATTTTCTGTCTCCAGTGTAAATAGGAAGTAGCACGGAGGTTAAGTGTGAAAAAGTTTGCAGCAATTTGATTCTAGAAAAGTTCACTTCAGATCATCATAGGGAAAAGGGATTTCACTTATTTAAATTATCTCTGCTCATCATATGGGAGTTTGTATTTGAATGTGTGCTGTTTTGCATGGATTTGTCTGAAGGCATGCTTAAACAAAAATAATATGTGCATGATGATGCTTATTTGCCTGTCTCTGCATGTGTCTGTGTTTGCATACTCATGAATCTCACATGCTGTACATTAAACTGACATTCAACACACCTAATAACAAACTCAAACCAAGAATGTTTGTGTGAGCTCAAACTAAACTCACACAAACATTGCCGCACTGGATCACTACCCCTCTCATGCCAAGCTACAGCCAGGAGACAGCTTTGTTTAAAGACTGGAAGCAGCTGGAAGCAGCTGGAAGCAGCAAGCCTGGCTGTGTACAAAATCTGCCTATCAGCACCTCTTAAGCTTACTAAGGGGTTCATACCATACCAACTTGCCTAGGACTTCCCAGTTCACATCATTGATTTTTTTTGAAAAGATTAATGAGAACTGAAAGCCATTGCTGCAGCTTAGAATACACATAAAACGAATCACAAAAATGATCAAATTTAGCTCAGAGGGCCAAACTTCAAAAAATGGTAACTAAAGTATTTGGAGTAGAGCTGTAAGATTTTGCTTGTTTTGGTTGTTTAATCTCTACAAAAAACAAAGTGTAAAAATTAAATTAGTGACATGAAACATGTTAAATGACCTTTAAAGGTGCTACGTGTATCTTTTTTTTTTTTTTACAGAGCTAGGCTAACTATTTCTCTTTGCTGTGCTTTCAGTCTTTGTGCTAAGCTAAGCTATCTCTCTCCAGGCTATAGATTCATATTTATCAAACAGTCATGAGAGTGGCATTGATCTTATCTTCTAACTCTCTGCAAGAAAATATCCTTCACAACCTACATTCTGCATGAGCGAATGTGTGACTCTAACCTGCGGATGTTCCAGATTAGTATCTTGGTGCCTTTTTTGGAGAGAATGGAGTCAAAGTGTGCATGTATCTGCTCCTGAGAGCCGATGATGGAGTGCTGGAGGATGGCTGCCAGACTTGCCTCTGAGTCCTCTGTCACCACCAGCGACTGTAACATGGAGTTAAGGTTAGGACGAAAAGGAGTATGCACAAACTGCTTTATGTCCTTTTGTTTACCTGGAATGCTTGTTAACCCTTTTACCGGTAATCATTACGATAATGACACCGAGGAATCATGAAGATGTGTTGATGCTGAAGAACAAACACACACAGACACACAGTGTATCTATTCGTCTAAATATTACTTTTTGTGTCCCATGCATATGTAAAGGATATTGGTTTGTTGGTTGAAGGGGACGATGGGGACGATGACGGCCTGGGCCTTGATGTTTTCCAGGTAGGTCTGAGATAGCATTCCCACAGTCTGGCAGCCGCCATTCTTGGTGAAGATGAGCGCGTCACGGCCCAGACGCATGGAACCAGACTTGAAACCGTTCCCGTAGACGCCGATGGCCTGCTGACTGGCCTTCCCTGAGCCCTTTTCTGTAAAACCAAAACTGAACGCGAGGATGAAGGGGAGAGTGAGGAAATAAGGATTTGTATTTGTGTGTATATCAGAAAATGTTTAGTGTTTTGTGTGTTATGTGTAATTACCTGCTTATTTATGTGAATTATGTGGGTCTTTGTGGGGGGTATACATGTGTGTGTCTGCATGAGACAGAGATACCTAAAATAAAATGTGGTCTAGAAATGCTGGTGAGTCACTCTTTGTGGTTTAAATGCAGGAACGCTGTCAGTGTGTATGACTCTGTGCAAGAAAACATTTCTGATGAAACATGCACTTATTACATTTTTTTTAATGTGTTTTTTCATTTGCATGTTAACTAAAGTTAACAGCAGATGTGCATGCATGTGTCTTACCTGAGCATCTTGTGCAGTTTGTTGGGGGTCATACCACTGCCATTATCAGTGAATGTTATACAGTGGTGACCGGCTTCGTCAACCACATCTATCCAGATCTGTTTAGCAGATACACCAGGATCTGATGCATTGTCTAGAGCGTGAGAGAAAGAAACAAATTAACACTGGAAGTTTACGACAGTTTCCGTTTCAATTTCCCATTCTCACATGGCACGTGTGCAGTGCAGTGTTGCCAGACTGGGCTGTTGTTTCAGGTGGGTTGTGATATTTTATGTTACGTTTTGTTTTCCACCTATGAAAAGTTAGGCTATATTCCTATTTCCAGTTTAATTTACGTTTATAGCAACTGTACTTTTATTTGTTTTCTGTGCATTTCATTAAACAAGTGTAAGAGCTGAACAGAAACATACACAAAGAGAAGGTAGGATGATAAATTACAACTCTTTATCTCTCTTACATTCATTCATTAAATTAACACTTTAAAAAAACAATTTCTGGATCTAAGCTCCTTGTAAAATTTGGTTAAAGGTACCTGTCCCCACCAGTTGATGATCCATGTTGAAGCCATGATAAAATTAAAAATATATAAAAACGAAATGTATTACAATGGAGATCAGCTAGTCAGGCCGAGTATTATATACAAGTACAAAAAGAAAAAAATGTAACATTAATATTTGACTTTGCTTTCTCTTCCAAACAAGTTTAGCAAACCTGTTCAGTTTCACAGTTCTTTGACCAATTGTATCCATGGATTTTGTTTTAGCAGCGTTATCGCATTCCCAGATCTCCACAACTGATTTGGTGAGCACCACTTGCACCAATGCCAACAGGACAGACAAAAATTAAGCGATATTTCCCTTTTCAATGAGTCAGCCCAACTGTACTTGTGTAGTACTTTCCGTACACCAAGGTTGAACAGCAGACATTTTGACTTGTCATAGTAGTAAAAACACAAATATCTTCTGTGAAAATATATGATGCTAATGTAGGAATTGTCAAAGAAATGAAGACATGTATATTAAAGTATGATAAGGTGATTGTAACTTCACTTCAAATACACTGTAGTAAGTTAGTATATACACTACTATGGGAACAGTGCACTGATAACATACACTACAAGGAATGTGTTATGTTGTCCCATGCTGTATGTATTGAGTCAAAATATAAGTGCAACGTATATATAGTGCATGCAGTAACTCTGTTGCTATTTTTATGCTTCTCTAATTTACCTAATTTACTTCTCTAATTTTTTACCAGTGCATATGTTTATACCTTGCTGCTGTGACCTTTTACTTTCCTTGCGTGACATCAGCAAAGTTTAACTCATCTCTTCTCTCTATCTTAACCAAACTCCTGCTAAAAGCCAGCAGCCAACAGACAGACAGAACGTCTGACCTAATGACAGAGCACAGAGTGAAGACTGACAATGTTGACAGTCGGGATGCAGAGGCTTTGGATCACGTGGAGGGACAAATCATGGAGTGACTCAGTGTATATTGAATTGAAGTCCAGACCACGGTCCAGACCCTTTGACCCCTTTAACACAGAGATCTACACACCAACTGAGTAATGGTGATTCTCTACGAAAATTAAACATTACCTGTTTACGAGTTATTAGAATTGTAGGAAAGTTATTACTTTTGCAAGGGCATGGAAAGTATAATAAAGCTCACTTGTAATGACTTAACAACATGATTATTATTATGACAGTCTTATATACTATCAACACACATTGTGTTAAGGCGCGTGGGAGCAATAAAATCATTAGGGATGTGAAAGAGGAAGTCCACACGGTCCATTTTAGCACCAACACAAACGTCTGTAAAGCACAGTCCACTGTGTGCGACAGCGGAAGAGTGCATGAAATGAAACAATGAAAAGCTGCTAAAGCAACAAGTAGAGCGCACCACGGCTGCAGGTGCACAGAACTATACATAGTTTGAGTGCAGTATTCATATTGTAGCCTACCTATCAATTCTGCCACCGCGCTGAAAGGCCAGGTATGACTTGTAGAGTTGCTGTTCAGGAAGGAAGGACTCATCTTGAAAAGACATAAAAATAAGTCAGTGGGTTTGTGTCAGTTGTCACTGACAGTCTTCTGTCCGTGCGGCAACAGTCATTTTGCAATAGTGCACAGACAAGGCTACATACTACTGAGATACAGTAGAAATACTGAGAGAATACATTAGAAATACGTACAGAGCTCAGACGGATCCCATGCTCGCTTAACCTCGCCATGATAAGCGACTGAGTACTTTCCCTCTTGTGCTGTCTGTTAGTTCTCAGCGCGCAGGCACGTAAACCCGACAGACAGCCGTGGGCGTAGCGGTGCTGGGCTACACTGTCAAAGGAAGTGTTGTCAGTGTGTCCTCTCAGGAACCAATTTAAAATACTGAACAATAATTTTATGTGCGTGTGCTTAAGTATTTTCCATTATCTTCTACTCCACTACAATTTCAGAGGGAAATGTTGTACTTTTTACTCCACTACATTATTTAGAGAACTTTAGTTACCTTACATATTCACGTTAATAATGCATAATATATTCAACAAATAAGTTATGATGTAGGCTATTATTTATGGTTAGGATAAGACTTCATTGGTCCCCAGGGGTAAATACACAAGCTACCCAGCAAAGGAAATACCTTAAGCAGCTGCAAGATTACAGTTTAATGTACACATTAAAACATCAATAATCATAATCCACTAATACAATATAAGTGCATATCATCCTGAAATGGGCCGTTCTGCATAGTGCATACTTTTACTGTTGTTACTTAAAGTTTATTTTGATGTTAATACTGGTATACTTTTAATTAGGTGAAACTCTGAGTTAATCTCCAACCACTGTACATCTATTTGGACTCTGTCCATCCTGCCAGCTGTAGGCCTGTCACCACAACAAACAACTAAAACAAAACAAAAAAACATAAACATTTTTTAGCTGAGCTGTGAGGGTTGATAATTCACTAGCATGGTAAAGGATGTTTGTCTAGGATGTGTGTAAACAGTTTGCCTCCAAAATAGTGCTGTCCACCTTTCTTCAGAACATCTGGTGAATCACCAGTTAAATTGAAAGATGCGTCAGAAATATTATTGCAAAGCTGCACAGTGGGTGTAACACTGGAATATCTGGACAATTAGATAATGGTAAAACTAAAGTGCTTGCAGGATGTCATGTCTTGTTAATCAGCAGCGGTTCAGAACGTGTGAAATTCGTTCACCCACATTTTGTGTATGAAAGTGTGTCAATGAAAAGCACACACTTGGTAATTTGTAAGAAATCTTGTAATGCTTTGGCAAATGGAGCTGCTGTTTGTGTCCTTATGTGAACACAGCACACCCCAACGATACTTGTCAATCCTGCTGATGTCTTTTATATTGCAGGCTGCCTGAAGACTTTTGGGTAATATGCTTTAGATGATAGCCTGTGACGTACAGTATAATTACTCCACAGTTATGATGTAAACTTTTGCACTCTAACAGTGTGCCAGCACAGTATGCACCAAAACACAAATATATAGGTCCTGGGAAACAAGATGTGAATAAATGGAATGAAGGGATAATAATTTGGGATATTACAAAAAACTTATATTGTGGTTATTTTTTAACTACCGGATATCTAATCTATTCTTACAGGGCACAGTATGACCTACTGAACAATAATATAGATGTTTGGGAGGAGTAAAGAGAATTTATACTGTAGATATTTTATAACTACTGGTTAACTATTCCAATACCACAGGGTAAACTATGTATGAGTTGCTGAGCTATACTCTGGTCGTTTGGGAGGAACTTAGAAATAATTTATGCTGTAGTTATTATCTAATTCCTGGGAACTGATATTACAGGATAATGTTTATGTAGTGTGATGTTGTTGCGCTGTATCTTAAACAGGACATTGTACGTTTTTTAAGAATTTTGTATGGATCGAAGCATAGACTTTTATTTTGAAGGATCCGGTTAGCATTTCCGCTATCACGCGTCCCAGATTCTTCAAGTATTGCTAATATGTCGTCAGTATGTTCATTTAAATTGAGTACATGGGTATATTGGGTTTCATGTTTTGGTCAGATACCTTTCTAAAAAGGAGCAGAAGGTTATCCCTGTAAGTATTTCCGTATTTCTGTATTTCATTTTCCCGAACTGCACTTGCCCTACTTCCGATTTTACTTCCTTATTGCTTCAGACCTTTTCCCGAGATGGTAGATACTCTGCTCGCTTCACTTTCCCAGCTTTACGTTGAAAATAAGAAAAGTTATTCATAAACACGTGTAGTTTTAGTCCAGTAATATTGTTGTGTTTTGTATTAGCAATTTTGTTTATTTTCATGCACAATTTAGCGCCTTGAGTGAGAAGTGTGCCGGATGTTTATGTGTGACGTGGGGTTGTAGTGTAGCGTCTCATGCTGAATATTACTTGTGAAGCTGTTTGTTAACATTGCGCAGTTTACTTATGGTGATACACAGGCTCTGAATGCCCTATTTCTTCACACTTGCAGTTGACAATTAGACCCACCACATAAAGAAGATAGTGGAATTTTAATATGGAAAAATGGCTTCTGCCTGTTAAAAATAAGTTCAGATGCTGATTTATTAAGATGTTTTTTTATTTATTTTATGTTATTCTGCGTTATTACACTTCACGTTTAGGGCTGTGATCTAAGGACTCTGTACACAGGCAGGTTGTGAATGCAGACAATATGCGATCAGAGAGCAAGCAAATCATCATCAGAAAGGCCATGTCATAGCTTGGTGGTTCTGCTTATGTGTGTTTTAAACACTTTTATTTTAATAACCTGCAAAACTTTTGCTGAACAGAAACTGTGGCCATAAGTGGCAATCACAGGATGAAGAGAAGTCATAAAGTCAGTATACTGACTCATTAATGTCACTTTATTGTATGACATGCATATTATTGCATGTGAATCCGACTTTATATTTGCAAGAAAGAATGTGTTATATGTTCTCTCAAACATTACTGTTTAACAGTGTATTCAAACCACTTGTTTAATCACTGGGAGGGTCGAAGACAAAACCTAAATGTTCTTTCTGGAAAATTTTGTCACAGGAGTGCAGTGTTTGTGCAGAGAAGCTGAAACTTCATGAGCGGATTGGTACGCAGGGTTGACAGTTAATTTTGGTATATGTATGCATGTATGCATGCAGGTATGTGTGTGTGTTAGGGGTTGGGGGGTGTTTGGTGAGTCATGGGGCCAAGCAGCACCTGTGCTCATTGGAAAGTACAAGTCTGACAAGTTTTTGAAACTTATGACTACCTGCAGACTAGCTGATATCATTCCAGGTATGTTTCTGCAAACTAAAAAAAAACAGCTCAATGTATTACATCATATTTTTTACTGTGAGATGATCAACTTTGATGATCAAATTTGAACTATATTTCAGGCTCAAAGGAGGAGAAATAGATCCTGATAGATCCTGGAATTTCTTAAATAATGTAAGTTTGGGCAATGAAACAATATTGTTATATTGTTTTATTCAATATTAGTCTTTTTATTATTTTATGTATCTCATAAACAAAATTGACAATACTGTCATTTTCATGTTTAAATGTTATCAAAATAAGATTATACAGTAAATACTGTTGCACATATAATTTTGAATATATGAAAATGATGGACTTTTGTTACAACATGTCAGTACCATGTCAATATTGTAATATTAATACTGTGCTTACTCAGCACATGGACAGCATTTTGTCTAATTACTTTTAATTCTTTGAAACTTATCAAAGACAAAACCATAGACAATAGGGAAAGAAGGAAGGAAGCATTCCTTTTTTCTTTTATTATCGTCTCTATTCTTGGTGCAATCACTCAATTCCTCATTGCATAAAAGAGTCCCCATCGTTGGTCTCCACTGTTGGAACGTTCCAGTTTTTCTCTCCATCCATTCACTATTGTGAAATAGTCCTCTTCAGAGAACTCCTGCAGGGGACACAGGCAGAGGCCATGAGCAGTCATCCAAAGAATTTAGTTTCTTTTGTTTTTTTTAAGTTAATGAATGACATGATGTGGGTGCAAGTATAACCTTGTGTTGTTGACATAATTTTGAAGTGTGCATGCTAACCTCAATGAATTCATCCTTGATGGCCTCTGCTCTCTGCAGCTCCGTCTTAATCACCTGGATGAACTGGGCTGTTCGGTCTTCTGCCTGAACGTTGCAGAAACCAGCCTCCTGAATGAACTACATAAGGAGATGCAGAAGGGGTGAAGTAGAGTGGCAACAGCACCACCAGCTGATGGATAGCAGTAACACATCAGCAACACATCCACAGAGGGCACAGTCACACAAGGGTTTTGTGTACGGGAGAAGACTTTGACTTTTAAGGACTTACCCAATATGCTTATCTAATTCTTACCCAAAAGTTTTCACCTTTGGCCACTGCAAAGCAGACATGTCTGTCTGGTGTTGCATGGTGTGCCAAGTGAAATGTTTTCTATGAGGCCATCATAGAGCTCCACTGTTGACCATTTTTAGAGGCTGCTGCAGTGGTTTATAGTAATCAGTCCAAGTAAACAAGATTTCTGTACTTTTGCAACGTTTCCTTATTGTTTGTTTGTTTGTTTGTTTCCCGACAGTGTGGTAAAATAGATGCAACACAATGATTTAAAATTTTTGAGGTGCATTATCATTTTGGAAAAATAAAACCAGAACCAAAACAAATGGGTGCCTGGAATATAGCCCAGCCTATATTAGATTTTAAAGGCAATGTCAATATCGTAGAGTTTAAGTTAGTATATTTATTACACACATTTCTATACTCACAATTATTGTAATTTATCAGACACCACATACAAAAATACTGATAAATCTATGATAAGCATATATCAACATATATGGTGGCTTGGTTGATTTATTGCCACAGCATTAAAAATAATTTGGGATATTTGGAAGGTTTACCCTTTTACTTTGGGCATAAAGTGGATGGCCGTCAGTAAGTTGATATATTGGATGGTAAAGTTTGAGAACAGACACAACAGTGTCCCAGACACTGAAACTGAGAGCAATTGGTCCTGTATGCCAATCCTCTCGTCACATATTTGTAAAGAGGACCAAAGGGCTGAACAAACTCTTACATAATTAGGCTGTACTGTTTGTTTACCTTGCCATACTGTGAGGGTGTATAAAGGACGTAGCCTCTCTGTTTGACGTAGGACTCAAACGCTGGTGTCCAGGGCTTTTCGCCACAGCAGTAGTCACTGATAAGCAACTGGCCACCTGGCTTTAACCATGACTGGACGCAAAGAAAGAAATGAAAAACAAGTAAAGACAGTTAGACTGGATAAAGTGACAAAAAAGGAAAACAAGAAATCTGTATAGTAGGGGTATAAGAACTCTCCAAATTCACAGTTTGATTCAGACCTCAATTTTTGCATCATACCTCTTTTTTTTTTTTTTTTTTTTTTCTTTTGGGGTTGGGTGGGGGTGGGCGGTTGGGAGATGATAACTAAAATGTTATCATCTGCTGACTTGTATGTGCCCCTGGCAAATAATGTGGCTATTATCCATCTTGAGCTATTAAGCCTAACCTTTATGGCAGGCATGATAACCCGATCATGACTGGACCAAAATAGTCACACGACACACAAGACATAGGTGTAATGTGTCATATTTACAAAATATTGAGCCTGTCCTAACTTTAAATAGAATAATAATTTGGTGATTTACATGTGTTATAGTGTGAACTGTGAAATGAAAAATTAGTTTTGTTACATTGTAACGTAATAACAGCTCAACTGGTTGCACCTGCAGGGTTAGGGGTTACTGTTCGGTCTGCTGGTATTACAGCATAAGATCATAGACTTTTAATTCCACAAATCATTATACCCCTACTGTATATGACATCAAAATGTTGCTTTTGTTTAGTTTTTGTTTATGTTTTGTAAGATCTACCAGATTTCCTCTCCAAACAAATTTAAAAAATGGTTTGGAAATCATTGAAATCAAAAGTTTTGACTTAATACAATTGTCTAAAAATGAGAGAAAATGCTCACATGGAAGCGTTTGAAGAGGGCCAGTTTGTCATCTATGTGTAGGATCGTGTCTCTGCTGTAGATCACATCAAAGGAACCTTCTGGGAACGTTCTTTTAGTGGCATCAGCCACCTCAAACTGGACCTGATGTAGAGTACATGCCATTATTGATTTAAAAAAAAAAAAAAAAACATTAATCAAACCATTAGCTGTGGTGTTTAAACCAATAGGATTAGGGAACATTTAGACGTACTGAAGGCAGCTTCTCAGTGATCGCCCTCTCCATGGCGATGTCCACCATGTTGTCTGACAGGTCCAGGCCAAGCACTTCCACTCCAAAAGTCTGAAACGGGACATTATCGTTGCCATCATTACAGGCGTTGCAATCATTCTAATCATTATAACATCTCTCTATCTTCATTTTTAGTATCACCCTAACTATGCCAGATTCCTTGCCTCCAGTTCCCTGCCTCTTACCTTTGCCATGTAGAAGTCTCCTCCACCGATGCCACAGCCAACATCAAGAACCTTCTGTCCGGGCTTCAGGTTCAGTAGATCCACAAACTCCTGTTAGCACATGTTGCAAAAGCTTTAGTTTAATCAAAGCCCTGAAAGATTGACCCATATAGTTCTGTCTTAAAGCCCCCATTATCTCCAAGGATGAGTAGGATGAAGGGTACAGGTTTTATACTACAATGTTAATTTTTGTATTTTCATTATTTCATTTATGACTCACATATCAATTCTTTGTACCATCTTGGAAAAAAAAGTTGTACAGTAATATACCACAACATTACCTTAAATTTCTGAAATGTAGGCGTTTTAAATAAGTTATCACATCTCACTTTTCTTAGTCGTTAGTGATGAAAATGAATCTATAATAATGCTGAATTAAACACTCCAAGGTCTGATGTCTGTATTGATTCATGTGGCCTTGTGTGCATTGTAGAATGAAAGTGCAGCTTCTCTCACACAAAGATAATAGAAACTTTCAAAGACAACAGGTTAAGAAAAGAGTAGTATCCGCTGATAAAGCTGCTTCAATAAAAGTCATGGTCATTTATTTGTTTGATAACAAGACTGAGAGTTTACAGTGTCTAGGAACAGCAGTGCTTTGAGCTAAATGTTAATGTCAACAAGCTAACATGTTTATACCATGTTCACTGTCTTAGTTTAGCATGCTGAAATTTGAGTATTAGCAATAAACACAAAGTAAAGCTGGGGTCGTCCAGCCTTTATTCCTACCTTGGTAGTGCTGGGCCCGCCCGTGCTGACATAACCAGCCCCAAACATCTTCTCATAGCGCAGGATACCGCGGCTGGTGTACTGCTGGTTGTCCAGGAACTGCTGGAAGGTGCTGAATCCATTCTGGTTGTTTGAGGAGCGGGGAACCCTCTCCAGCAGCCAGCAGATTTGATTGGGATTGTTCTTCATCTGGAACAGGAGAGGATGCAGGTGGGGGGCAGTGAGTGGGTAGAGAGGGAAGATGGGCAAGTGAGATGGCTTAACTGCACATTGACACGCCAACATCACATACTGGTATGCCCCTCTATGTTATAGTTCAAGTCTCATTTAATAATTTAGTAAAGCTTAAAGGACTCTACCTCAACATAGGTCTGAACTTTCTTTTTCAACACAATGTCGAAACCAAACTTTTGGCCCCCCTCAGGCCCCTCCACTTGTACTGATGATACCAGGTGGCTGTATTGTGCCTCAGTGCGGTAGCAGGTGGGGTTGAAGTCCCTCTTGCTGTCACCTTGGAAGAATGTTACAAGTTTAAACAAATCCTTCTCGTTATTGTATAAGAAAAAGATAAACTGGTGACTGTTGCTTAACAGTTGTAACAGCAGATTATGATATATAAAGAATGCAGAAACTGAATCTGGACTGCAAAACTTAAATTTGTCACAGCTTTATTTCAGATTCAGTTACTGTAAATGTTTAAATACTGAATATGATGTATGACAGATATGGACATTCAATATTAGCTCAGTACCTGATCGGTGGTTGCAGGATTCTCTGAAGAAGAGAAAGCCACCGGGCCGCAGCCAGCCAAGCATCTTCTCTATGAAGGACTTCAGCTCCTCGTCACTCAGGTACATCAGCAGCCAGTTGGAAAAGATGAAGTCAATGCTGAGAAGCAGATTGAACACACCAGGAGCATTAACCGCATTTGTTTTATTTTAATATATGTTTTTTGTATAGTGTTACTCTGAGTGTAGTATTCTGCTCTCTGATCTCTTGCTGTGAAAAACTGGTCAACAACACTGACGCCACGTGCCGACTCTGGAAGTTGGTCATAAATGCCAAAACAACATGGAGTCCTTGTTGTATGCAAGCGCCTTTGCCTATATGAACCTACATAAGACGGGTATTGTGACCACAGTACGACTTGGTTTGCTTTGTTCTCATGAATCTTGAGATAGTCCAATTGTGGAGAATGTCAAGTATTTAGTGATTAGGAGCACCAATGCTCCTCAATAATGATACATTTTGGAAAGAATGGGTCGAAAAAGAAAATGTTGTGTTAAATTGTATTCATCATTAAAATGACAAGTATAAACCGTACTTTAACTAAAGTGTAACTTATTTTCTTTCGTCTAAATAAAGACAATAATGTGATTTTGATGCAGTTTAGAAATATTTAATGTATCTGTTACCTGACAGCCACAAGGGGGTGCTAGTCTGTTTCTGTTCGGTATTCATCCACTAGTGGCCTGAATGACTTGCCACTGGAAGCTAAAAAATTTCATGGCAACCCACTCAACAGTTTTTGAGATATTTCAGGATGAACCAAAGTGAGGGGTCGATCAAACAACTGACAGACCAACAGAATGACACTGCCGCTCCAACAGACACACTGCTATTGTGGCTAAAAACAAAGACATAAAGTGTTAGTAAGCTACAGACATCTTAACACACACCTGTTTGGGGGGATATCCAGCTTTGTGACGTCAGCTCGGATGAAAGTAGCGTTGCTATGGTGACCATTTTCCTGTCTGTTCCTCTCCACAAAGCTTTCCATGAAGTCCACAGCCGTCACATGGGCAGCCTTGGTCAGCAGGTGGGTGGTGTAACGACTATAAAGACACATGTCAGTATTACTGTATATCTATGCAGCTCTAAACAACTGACGTCATCACGTCTTATTTGCATTCTGACTAGTCTCAGCCCTTTATCTGTTTGCGTCTCTCCTACTCTCTGTGCTCACATATACTATAGTCTCTCAACTTGGCCGGATTTCCAAGAAAGTTGTTCTCATTCACACGTTTTTCTGTTTATGTTGTCAGGCAACGGAACAAGTTCGAAATAGTGACTGAAATGCGGCCCATTAAAACTACAACACCTTCCAAGCCATTTCCGTGTTGCTGCTCTGCCCTTGCTAATATCCCGATTTTCTTTCTGCGACATCGTCTGACAAAACATCAAGTAAGTTAGAGACAAAAACTGTGCTGTGATTTCGGCTATATTTACTTGTATCATTTACTTGTAGAATGGTCGCTCCGTGTGAAAGTTAGAAGCGACAGAATATCTTTCATTATTTTGTCTCACAGCAGTCTCCTTCTGGGATCCACTATTGTTTTCAACAACTGTAGGCTATTTCCTTAAAGGTGACCGGGGTTTTGATTTACCTCAACTGCAGAAGGTAACAGGGGTTTATTTGAGGATCTGTTTGATAAAATTAGTCTTACAGCAATTTTAGTAAGGCGTTTTCAGATGCCTCTGTTTACCGTGTTAAAGTTGATGCATCAGCTGTTAATACAAACTCAACAGTTCCTGAAATTGTTTCAAATTAAAAGTCCTCTAGTGTTTCAGTGGGCAGAAACTCTTTATTTCTTAACTTTTAGTGCTGTGCAGATGTGCTGCACTAAGTGTACTGGCTCATTTCCGGTTTCTGGTGTTACTGATGCTTACACGATTTTCAGATCTGCTTGTTTCTTTAGCTTAGCAGTTACCGATGACTTCGCTCTTTCTTTCCCACTCTGCTGCACTATCTGTGTGTCATAGGTTTTGTTATTCCGCTGCCTCCTGTAGTAATAATGGTACATTATGATGCAAAGTTGTTTATTAGCCGTAATGGAGACGAGTCAAAATGAATTGCAAGCGTCATTGCGGTTTCCCTCTAGCTCCCTTAGCCCAAAGCCCATACATGGTCCAGCCACATCTTTGTCTTGTTTGAAAAAAAATCCCTAAATCCAGCGACAAATGCGCTATATTAGCAACGCTGCAGGCTGTAAACTAATAGAAACTATTGGCGCCAATTCATTTTGAAAGAGCAATGGCCAATGGGGAAACTCCCTCACTTGTTATTCAGTTGACCAATGGTGGAAATAAGATTACTCAAATAGGATCATTTAGTCAGTCACTCACAAACATGACTGATTATAGGACTGGCTCTCTGTTGTGGTCCAGGCAAAATAACCTATGCTGGCTGTATCTCTTTGTAAGAAAGGAGCATCATGGGCTCTTGTTTATAAAGCTTTTCTTAAGAACCTTACATCTTGCATGGGAACCTTATCAGACTCACTCTCATGTCTTTTGCTATAGGCCCCGAAATTAAATAGCGACCTTAATTAAACCCTGATCACACACGATCCACTACTACACAGGCACAAATGCAGCTGTATGCTCACCCGATGCCAGCTCCGAGCTCCAGCACTTTGTATCCGGTCAGGCAGGGCAGCATGGAGAGGATCTCAGGCAGCTCATGCTGAGTCAGCTCCCTGGCCCGAGAGTCCAGCATCATCTCCTCCACTGTGGCGGCCTGTGAGTGCTCCTTCCAAAACGCTGTCATGTTGCTACGAACTGTGAAGCACACAGGTGTGCAAGTGAGGTTGGCAGAAATTTGTGTGTAGGGGCAGTAGCAATACTATTAAAGGTAGAGTAAGGGATTGTAATTTAATACACTTTTTTTTTAAATCAAATTCAGTTCAATTTTAAATAGGATTGATTGGGAGATTGCGGACGAGAGACCTGTGCAGAGACTGGAGGTAAATGGCGAGCACATGGAAGAAATTTGCTACTGGTGACGGCATGACAGTGGAATATACTCCACGCTGCAACTGGCCCGCACCCCAAATGACAGGCACACAGAGATGGTGAGGAAAGAGGCTGATGGGACAGATAAAAACTTAATTAATTGTATGGATGTTTTGAAGGTACACCAACCCACTGCTGCGGCGGCCAACTGTGATTGTTCCTGGTATTCACGATGGCCATTCCAACTATGGTGGAAAGACCTGAGAGAGTTGAAAGACTTGAAGATGGATGCAGAGTTTGCTCTGTTTCTGCTGGACAGGTGGGTAACATTAGCTTTGCCAATAGGTATTGTTTTGTCTTGTTTGCTAATGTTTATGATAGCTAACTCAAATTGGTTAGTTAGCAAGCAGGTACTGGTGTCACATTTGTGTTTGGTATTGTTAACTTACTTGTCCACAGACATTTGGCTCACTTTATAGTTTGCCAAAATATGCTGTTTCTGTGATGTTAGCTTTAGAGTCGTGATTATAGCTGTCTGAAGATGGATGCGCTGGCTATGGGAAACCGTTTTGTCCTCTCTGCATGTTAGATTTGCAGCAGCACCTGCAGCAACGGTTTGCTGTCTTGTTGTTTGCTCTGTATCATGTTATGTATTTATTTATCTGTACAACGTGCAAAAGGTTTTATGGTCACAAAGACCTAAAACCACAAGTTAGCACAGTGGATTTATTTGGTTCGATGCATGATTCGAAATGCTATGCCAGGTAACTTCCTTGTTAACTTAGCTTCTAAACAATCTTACAACTAACTCTCTTTAGTTTTTACTCCGCTGTGTTTATGGTGCTGTGTTTGTGTGCATGCCATTTGTTTGATGACATTTTATTATAAGGTTTTGGTGAGAAAGATTATTGACTTCTATGCTGTATGCATTTCATGCTGTCTGTCTGGATTCCACCACTATGTCGATGCTTTGGTAATGGGCGTCCATGTATTTGGGGGGGCGGAGCTTCTGAAAAATGTCAACATTCTTGCTCCAGTACTGCTTACTCTACCTTTAATATAATATTAATATTTACAAGAACACAAAGATGATGTTTAAGAGGATGGACTTTCATGCTGCCTGGTCAAACAAAAATGGAACAAGGATATGCAGTGAGACAATGATAATGACATATAAATAATTAAATAGACATAGTCTCCATGCATACAATAACAAGTTATCAATTTAGTTTCAATGAATTTTTGAACAACACAAGTCATTGTTCTACACGTATATCCTTGGGAATATGTGGCAGAGTTCAATGACCCCTACCTGTGAATCATCTATCAAACAGTTCAGTAAACAAAAACAAGTATTCATTATGTTTCTCTTCAGTTCAGTTACATCCTAAAATAAACATCCAAACAAGAAGCAGACAACTCATGTTACTTTCATTCAAGTTAAAAGTAAAACTTCTATGTTAATTCATAACTTTTGACCTAAAATTCTTCAAAGATAAATGCCACAGAGGTCATGTCTGGCACACAGATTAACCATTAGTCAAACATGATTAAGTAACCTTAAAACAATACACTGATGTGGCACATCATGAGGCAGATTTGCCCAGAATTTAACTGTTGCACTTTGTTCGCTATTAAAATGTAGGATGTATAATAATATAATGCAATAGGCTGCAGGAAATGATGCAATCATGCACTCCTGGTTTATAAAAAAGTTTATTTTATCCACAGACAACCCAAACACCAGACTTTGCTGAGCTGCCAGCAGCACAGCACAGTAAAGTGGCCACTAAACTCCAATCTTCCTGTAAAGAGGTGATGACAGTGGAAAAGTAAATGTCTTCACAGTCCCCTACCAGGTTACACACTGAGCACTGGGATAAGTGCAGGTTAACATTCAAGCAGACAAATCTACTGGGATCAAATGACAGCTTCAGGCAAATCACTGACACATTACAGCTCAGAGTACAGGATAACATCCATCAGCAGCACAAAACAAAACATAGAAGCTTCAACAACGTTCACACTTGGGTGCCATCAGTTGCATCAGCTGGCTCACATCCACGTTTCAATAGTAATTTCAACTTCTCACCACTGAAAGAATTCAGTTATAACTCTGCTCATACCTTTTTCCATGGTGGTCTTTGGCTGATTTGAACTTAAAGTAAAATTAGTCAACAATGCCCATTCAGTCTGGCAATTAACGATAGTTTTAATTATACGTAGATCACTGTAAGTATCCTTTGTCTGACAGAGCGCAGGTTCCACGTTGTGTGGGTGCTCTTTAAATAACAGGGCGATCGTGGTGCGTGGAGGAGGTGGTCGCCAGGTAGTAAACCGACCATTAGGATGCGCCCAGTATGATGATAGGGGAGGGGAGGGGGAGCACATGAATAATCATACGAGGACGAGGGTCTGTAGATTATCAGAGACATGTTTATGGCCGGGATTCACCTGACAATGTGCACACATAATAGACCTCCATAAAAGATCTCAGAGAGAGACACATCTACAGATACGTTAGTGTGTCAGTAAATTACACTCACATCTCTTTGCGCGGTGGTTGGTTTATGATGAATTGTGGTGGTGGTGCGGTGTGTGTTTCCTGGTCTCCCTCGCCGGCTCACAGCTCATCCCGCCTCAGATGTGCTGACACGTAGGAAATAGTCGGTGGCATGCGCCGATTGCATCATTGCCTCATAGTGCAGCTGAAAACCTCAGCGCTGTTAAGGTGGAGAGCAGTGACTGCTGAGCGGCCGACCCTGACAATAAATCTTACACTACAGAATCTTTCATGTTGACATGTTTTGATCAGACCTATAAACACAAGAGTCCATGCACGCGGCACAGTTATCGGGCGTTTTCGTTGATAATGAAATGATTGTTATGACTCGACAGAGACTACAGGTGCAGTTTGACTTGAAAGTTGCAGTGTCACTGCAGCGTTTTAGTGTTAAGACTGAAACAGGGAATCTAACAGTTTGTAACACAGTATGCAGCCGTTTTCGTAAGGCAGGTTTTTCAGTGACTCAGGGGGATACACGTGTGCAGAAGTTGCCCATGTGGTCCAAGGCCATGGTGAAAAATAAATAGGAGAGACTGTGATAACCTACACTATCGTGTTTTGAACCATTTATTCATACAGTATTTATGAATGTTAAATATGGGGGTTGAAATAAAGCATATCAAGCTACCAAGGGCTTTATTAGTAGGTCATACATAATAGTAATTCTTTTATAGAATAGTTATAAGTAATTGAGTTGTCTTGCTGCTTTAATAGTCCCTTAAGTTGCAGTTAAAAAAAATAATTAACAAAATATATCAAAGTTAGTAAACCATTCTACATTTTTTTTTTTTACATTTAATTTGATCTGTTATTATTATTCATTTATTTTACAAAAATCTACCATGACTACAGCTGTGACAATAACTAGTTATTAAATGGATTGTGGTCAAGATGTGGTCCGCTGAAGGAGGAAAAACAACAACCAAATTATTAATTAACCATTGATAATAAATTTATTAATTTTTTTATTTTCTTATAAATCCCCATTAGTGTGACTAATTAAAAAAGTGGTGCTAAATCGGGTTGCTAAGGGATTCTTCAGCATACGGCAGCAACTTAGGAGGAGTACTGAGAAGTTCATTTTTCCACAGATAAGAAGCACCGATGGTAAATAGTCCCGGATGGAAACCTTTTGATCCGCAATAATCAGAATCATAAACAAGTTTATTTACCAAGTGGGCTGTACACACAGTCGATACTAAATGCCAGAGCAATGTAAATGACTGCACAAAAACATAAACATAGCCATTATTGGTTAGGCAGGTAAATTAGACAGTATAGACAAACATACAGAAAAACTGCACTCCCCTTCATGTGTACAGTTACAGGATAAAATGTACATGAGCTATGGCATTATTTACTATATGTACAACACTGGACAACAAGATTGTCTTGCATTGCAGCTACACCATAATGGAAACTGTTTCCTGAGGTGATGACCTGTAGGAAGAATCTGTTCTCATGTCTGGTTGTTTTGGTGCCGAGTGATTTGTAGCTCCTTCGGGGAGGGGAGAAAGTCAAATAATTTATGTCCAGGGCTTGACTGGTCTGTGGTGATTTTCCCTGCCTGACTGTTTACTGACTCTGGAGTTGCACAGTTCCTGGAGAGTTGGCTGGGCAGCACCAGTGATCTTTTCAGCAGACTGACTGTCCTTCATAGTGTTTTACTGACCTTTGTTGTGGTCCATCCAAACCAGACTGTGATTGTTGTGGAGAGACTCAATAGCTGTGGTTGTCCTATGATTTTAAATGCCTTTACCACCTTATGCAGGAGGAGACACTGTTACCAGATAAGTGGAGGATGGTTAAAACTGTTTTAAGTGTATGTAAGTGTTTTTTTGTTGGCACATCTTCTGTCTTTTGTTGTAGTTCCTCTTTAGATCCCAGGATACTCAGAGGTGATCATTGGTGCACAAGGAGAGCACCACTGGATCTTCTGCTTTCTTTCTCTCAAGATGTTTGTTAGTGTTGTTGAATATGGTGTATTCTGTGTGAGCTGGAGTGAGTGTGGTGTGAGTTCCTATTGTACCAGCAGTCAAACACATTCAGGTTGTCAGCCAGTTTGCCACGGAGTGGGTAGAGGGTTTCCTGGAGCTGGTGATGTTTTTCACCACGCTGTTGTCGAGTCATTGGTTGTAAAGATTTTATACTTGTAGTGTAATTCCTCTTACTCATATTTCCTTTGTCAGTGAATTTTCATCTTCCCTTCTGTGGGCCTACCTTGAGCTGGTTAAGCTGACACTGGCTGTGAACTTTGATTTGTCATGTTGTATCTCTGCCAACTTTTTTTTCTGAAAACACTCACAAATAGACCATTCAGCTGTACCAACATTGCCTGAAAAGGCAGGTCTTGTTCTGCATACAAGCAAACTTTGGTGTGGTTCAGTTTAGTGAGGGTATTGATATGATGTATGAATGTATTTTCATTTTTTTCTTTGTTGCAGAACAAAGGTGTTCCTTCTATTTCACTGATAGACATTTGATGGCGGTGATGTGCCAGGAAATGTAGCAATATGCCAACAAAGGCAAGGAAATAGAAGCCTGCTAGCTAGTAAACATGGATGTTAACAATATATGTTTCAAAGTTTTCAGAAAATCATGCACGCACCATGTTTATTAGGCCTCACGGATACACACCTATACACACCTGTATAAATGCAGCGTGATCTAAACGTACAAGACTCAAGTCAGTCAAGACTGCAATGAGAGCCTGGGAAGCCAGTGAGGGATCGTCTCCTTCTTGTAACATTACAACATGAGCAAATCCTTTAAGGATACAATTGAGAAGGACAAATGAGAAAACTAGGAAATAAATGGGGGCTGATATGGATGCCAAATACCAGAGTATAATTGCAAATAAATTCAGTTAGGTTATGTTCATCTAATACGGATCATATTTGACAGCAAAACTTTTTGACCTCTCATTACAGCCTAGTTTTCAAGAAGCTACTACTGTTAGTTTGATTTTAATATGAATTTTTAATTTTTGTGCTGTACTGCCAACACAATTTTAATCCAAAAAGGAGACATCACTTTGGTCGTAATTAAAGACAATTAACTACAAAGATAAATAAATATATGTTGTATTTACAATATGGCCATTGAATGAATAAAAGAAATTCTTTCGTTTTTTCCTCAGAACAGATAAGTCAGATATGGAATTTACATGTAGTATTTCAATAAATATTGCCTCAACATCAGAACTGATATATCTGTGTGGTCTATACCAGAAGTTGTTTAGTATGCAGATACATTATCATAGACTTAACAGTGGATTAGACAGAGAGAGAAAAAAGGCTTTTGGTGTCAAAGCAGGGGCGTGCAGTGCCAGTATGTAAACAGTGTGCATAATTTTGTGCACAAGTGCGCTTGTGGATTCGTTTGTGTGTATATGTGATTGATTACTTGTGTTTGACTTTTTGCACAGTTCCAGCATAACCACATCCAAAGTTCTTTGTAACAAGACTGAACTAGACAAGAGCATGATATATCAGGGGGTTTCTGACATAGATAATGATCCAGAAAGTCCCTAAACATGGTCATATAATATCAACACCAGTTAAAAGTACATGTTAAAGGTATGTCAATGTCAGTACTGATAAAGGAAGAATATATTGACCAAAAGAAGGTGCCTCTAAGTCATGGATGTTAAACCTAGTTCAGCATGTAACTGAAACTGAATAGGTGACTGACTTGTGCAGAATGATTGAACTCCAAATGGATTTTCAATATGGTTCATGCTAACTTTAGTTAGGACGTGGTGATGTGTATTTATAATCACTGTCCATTTCACCTCGGGTGAGTGTCCCTGTACAGATGTGAATCAGAGCCCAGTGTGGAGATACGTGATTTAGGCAGTGATAATCAATAAAAAACAAAAAACAAGAAGAATTGAGCTGAAGTATAATATATTGAGACTGAGAATTAGATCTTGATCTTGATCTTGATCTTTGAAGTTATAAGGCATCATGGACAAGAAGTATTCAGTGCTAAGAAAAATGTAAAATTAAACATCAGTTCCATGACAACCGGGCAACTCCCTCTGTTGAGGAAGATTTTATTCAGTCAAAAGTTTTAGAGCAGCCACTAAATGAACCTTGTGGTGTGATTGTTTTGATAGTAGTCCATATTGTATATTTTAAAATCTCAAATAATCTGTAAATATCTGCAGTAATTGCCAAGATCTGAAATATTTCTGTTTCTCAAACACTTTGATGAGCCTGACAGCCATCTGAGCAGATAGGTGCGATACAGTATAGCTTCGTTGATAAACAAACATCCTGCAAATTGGTTGGAGGATGCATCTTCAGAAGCTGAACAATGTCTAATTGTTTGTTTGAACAAACTGAGTTGGAGGAGGAAAGGAGTTAGCATTTCCCACCACAGCAAAGCGACTGTAAGTGATTACTTATAGAGATAATATTGACATGGCTATTGTGAAAAATTAATTTTCTTGTCTACAGCTTTGGCAGAAAGCCTCATGTTCTGAGCGACATTTGCTATCTGGTTTTCACTGCTGGTTTGGGTGTGTCTGTCCAGGAGGCACCTCCAGTACATCCTGTTCTCCAACTGAAGGTTAAAAAGCGGCTTGTGAAAACCAGTGTTGCCTTAAACTTTTTATAAATTTTACTTATGTGTAATAAACATCATTCCTACTTCAGAAGGAGATATTTGATCAAACAAAGTTAACTCTGAAACTCTGAAACTGAAAAATGGATATACTGTAAGATGGAC